ATTTTAGGAGTCTCCATCACTGGATTAACGAGAAACAAAAGGAAACGTGTCTCGTGTAGATCGGAAAACTGTTTTGTGTCATCGCTTGGTGTCTGAAAAAGAAATGAAATGTAGGCCAACAACACAAGTTTTACGTACTTTATACACGTTTTTGCAATTTCCTATGGACTATAGGTATTTTGTATCTTGTCCCCACTTTGTTTCAAATTTTGGGTCCTGTTTACATGTTTCACTATTTCATTTGAGTTCGTTGTGGAATTTTGTTCTAAACTGTGTTCAAATTTTGAAGGTTATTCATTACAAATATTAGGGTATTCTGCAATTAAGCCCGCACATTTACTATAAGGGCTTTTGTTGGTTACATGGACTGAAATTTGTTCACTATCATCTTGAAAAACTGCAAGTTTTTCTAATCGTGGCCGTTTGCATTTCTGAGATCGTGGTCTCCGCAAGTTTTCATTTCAACCAATACTACATGTACTTCAGTTGCAAAGTAGATGATTTATGAGCCTACATAATAATGCAATATTTATTCAGTGGCTGATGCCTTAACGTACACAATCACCTCTTTTTCATATGTTAACCTGCTTTATTCTCTCTCTCAAAAATAATGGTGGAAAGCCTATATCAATTTGCAACCCACGTAGACAAAAATATTATTGTGGTATGCAAGATAAGCCTGCAGTAACATCTGAGCAAATTTGGTCTTGAATATAACAACTGTGGTATGATATAGCAGTGCATTATATAGGCTACATTTTGTCATGTCAAATTCGTTGCTTATTTTCATTAAAAACTATAGTACAGAATTGAGCCTTGTCATATACTAAAATGTCAAAGGCATACAATGTATCACACATAGAAAACATGCATACAAATAATGTCAAGCTGATTCCTAACCAAGTTATTGCCAAGAGGCAAATAACTGACATTATATCATTGAAAGCTGAATAATTCTCCCGAATAATAATTATGAATCATTGAGCCACTTCATAAAACATATACCTGTATGTTTAATTAATCAAACTTTGATACAATGTATATGATATTGTTTGTTTTGAGAATATATGGTTTATACATATTTTATTGTATTCAAGTTATGGTCCGCACTCTACAGAGGCAACAATTCCATTTAAGATACATAATTGCCATTTTACAAAACGACATGTCCTCCAAAAATTTACAAAGTCGCACAGGTCAGTGCAAAAATGCAGCGAAATGGAACAATCAACTAGAAAACAAAACACACAACAGTCTTAAGCAAACAAACACAATAAATATCAACATCAACAGAGCAACACCGATGGAAACACCTCTGCAATCATTTTTGGTACCTCTTGTCTTTATCATTTGTGTCAATCATGTGTTTATGTTTTTGGCATGCAGTCATTGTTTTGTTGTTCATGAATTGTTCTTGAAATAGAAATCTATTTTTATTGGCACTTACCTTGAGCTGATATAAGTACTTGGAAGAGCGAAAGAAGAAGAAATATGAAGGCCGTCGCCTTTTCCATGATCACAAAATCCATTATGCTTGTAAAACTATGTGTATAAAGCTATAGCCACTAGAAAAATAGTTGAACGTGCTCTGAACGGTGAGTCGAGCAATGAGGTAGCGGTAACTTCCCGGTTGGTAAAGTGGTGACAGTCCGTATGAAACTGATCGAAGCTGGAGAGTTCCCGTAGCAGACGACGCTTTCCAAATACCCGCGCGGTTCAAAAGTGGACACACCAATAAGTGACTCCAAATATATACTCTTGTGCCTGAGATGATGAAAATGAAGTGAGCTCACAATGTTGGTATCTGAAGTAGGTTCCGGTCTCAACAGAAGCAAGGCGTAAAAATGATTATCGCAATTATGAATCATCAAATCTAACGATTTAGTGAGAGTTTAGGAGAAAAACTGCGGGGGAACATTTTACGCACTGACGTGCTGCGTGCGTGGTCGGTCAATGAATGACTGTATATAATGCACATCATACTCTATACTTCATGGTCAGAGAGAGAGAGAGAGAGAGAGAGAGAGAGAGGGGGGGGGGGTGAGGATATGGGGTCATTAGAAACTTGCAGTGTACTGTCAATACCGAATTTAGATCGTGCTTGCAAGAGTGTAATGCCCATATAGTAGGCCTACTACTAGTACTAGCACATGCAGTACGGTTTGTCATAATTTTTCATAGGGGTATATTCTAGGATTCAAGTGAGATAGATGGCTGTAAAAGCCATCCCAGGTCACCCTCTATCCAGGCTAGTTCCTACCCCTTTCTATCTCTTCCCCCCACCCATCACGCCCCTCATGCTCTCTCTTTCTCTCTCTCTCTCTCTCTCTGTGACTCATGCCTCTCCCCATTTTCTCTTCCTTTCATTCTTCTTCAGTCATAATTAATGTCTTTATAATCATGCCATAGCACTTCACTGAATTTAGTTTTTGCTATCACAAACAATTACTGTTTTATTGAAGCAATTAACTAATCTGACCCCGGAATCTGACACTTCTAGAACAATTCTCTCAATAAACAGTCACTGTGGAAAAGTAGCTAACATAGAATGCAATTTTTTTTCACTACCGTCACTTCGTGAAAACAGCGGAGTCGTATAAAAAAAAAATTATATTTTAATTCTAGACGAGTTTACTGGAAACGCAATATAGATTCACTCAAAAAAAAAAATCAGCATGCAGTTTTTTGTCCTAATCTATTGGTCCTACAGCCTTTTCACACACAGCTAAAATTCTATAAACATGACTAGTATAAACGTGTTTCGAACGTGTTTAAACTAATCACGAGCCTTTCACACACAGAAATTTCGGTGCGATCGTTAATTGTTTCGTGATTAACTACTGCTCGTAAAATGCGCAGTAGTGCCATTGCGCATTGAAGGTCATGTCATGTCAATCAAAGCGCACGCTCCATCCAGTTTAAACACGTTTAAACAAGAATTTCCTTTCACACACAAAATGTCAAGCTCTCTAGATACGAACTTCGTATCTGCAGCCTGCTTTTAGGGGCGTATGGATCGCGACTTCGTATCTATCCCAACATCGTATAAACGATGTTCACACTGGGAAATTTTGTCTATAAACATGTTTAAAATTTTACGATGATTCTAATCATCACTAGATACGATGAATTTTAGCTGTGTGTGAAAAGGCTGTAACATGACTGTATATATAATATATATCGACAATCTCTTCTTTCTCGATCAGATCCATAATTCAACCAATCAGGATCAAGCTCTTCCAACTGTCGCGTGTCGATTCCCCCAACAGCCAATCACAACACTCCAATTCCACTGAACTGGATATGTGTGCAAAGACAGCGATGATGCAATGTTTCAGAGAGTTGCAGATGATACAAGGTACAACGTAAGAGGGCAGTATTCATTTCCAGAGTTTGGGCCAGCGAGATTCGAGCGTCAGTGCACTCTCCATCGTTGAAGATAAAACAATAAATTCTCATACCATCAAATGAATTTTATTCTGAATGATTATATGAAAGCTATATAAAAAAAAAATATATGATTAACGATCCAAGGATAAAGCAAAGAAAAATGGATAAATTGAGCTTAAAATTCCAACCCACGGTTATAAACCATATTTCAAATTCAAGCACGTTTTTTGTTATTATGCTTAATATGTGAATGTAATATACAAATGTAATCATTTTATTATTATCTGTGATGTTCGTTTTACCAGCTGAGCACCCATTGTACAACAATTTAAGGACGTGTACTTTTTTCTACATTGTAAGAAAGGGATAAACAGCACCACCCCATGTTTCTTTACTATTTCCCTTTTAATTGTTTGATTCATTTGGACTGGTCACTATTTATATCCGTCCTCCATTCATTACCACAAACTACTGGGTCCTACATCTTTATAAGCTTGCTTTCATGTAGGTCCCATCATATTTCTCTCAGTTAAATCAGTACTCTATATTGACCACTTATCTTTATGTTATTTATTATGTATCATTGATTGTTATTGTATCACACAAAAACAACTTTATTTTGAAATGTATATGCAACATGAGAAATATGAAAATAAATGAAATGGAGAAGAAAAAAATGCCTGGAACATACAATCCAAGCTACGATTTTTTGAAAAGCAATTCCACATCGAGAACTCCTTATTAGTTTTAGTCAGATATTTTACGTCACATTCTGCTACAATTAAAGGAATATCGATCACAATAGTTAACAAGTTATGATTTTTTGTTTTTCCGTTAGTTTTCATATCTTTCCATGAAATTCTCGTCATCGATGCGCCTCAATTATGCGCTCTCGATTTGCAAATAATGCCTGAGTTTGCTTTTCAATTTTTGTTGTATGTAATGTTCATGCTTCTGCTTATTCATACACATCATAGCAGTACACATTGGGGCGCTTGCGCTTTACTCTTCATTATCATCTCGCATCTCCCTATTGTTTCCGTTTTCTCTTCCCTCTTTTCTCTCGAACTTTTGCATACTTTTTTATGCGCCCCTTAGATCAAGCACGTACCCCCCCCCCCCCCCCCCTCTCTTCATTTCACCAAATTTGCGACTGGCTCTATTGTGTAATGTTTGAAGCTCCTTGCTCTAATCATGGATTTTACTGGCATCCGTACTCTATGATATGATCAAGCTATTTAATCTAAATTCCTGTACTCAGTTTATGAATCAGCTCTGCTTTCTCTTTGTTACGATTGTTTGAAAATGTCCGGCCACGTGATCTGTTACCGGGAAGATGTGACGTCACGATCGTTTTCCACTTATATATTCCGTGAGCAATTAAACTAGTTCTATCACTATCGTCTAAGAGATCCTTCATTGCATCCAAAAATAGGTAATTGATATAAAAATTAATGTGAAATGAAAACGTAAACATACAGATGATCAATATTTTAATTGATTTAAACCCCAAATGGAATAAAATTGAGAGATCCTATCCATTGAATGGAAGAATCACATAAAATTATTTTCCGATATTAATCCGCAATCACTGGTTTCATCTAGTGCGCATGCGCTTCAACGTTTAGTCAGCGATTGCAAGTATGGCGGACGACGACAAGCCTTCAACTTTAGCGAAATCGTCAGAAATATCCTATGGAAATGTTATTATTACGCTTGACAATGTCCTTATACCTGACGCAAAACTCTCGCAAACCCCTTCTGCCAATGATGGCCTGGAAACGGAGACAGAAATGGATCTGAGAATCCTTGGATGTGAATTCATTCAGATGGCTGGGATTCTTCTCAAACTTCCTCAGGTAAAATTTAAAAAGCCATTCACCATGCATGTAGTAGGCCTATGTAAAACTACATGTAAATCGACTTATCAGTTTTAGTGCGTGCATCCCAATTTAAATTTTGTTAAACTTAGGCCTACTGACTGTTCAGTGTTTAAATTATATACTTTATAGTCTTGACTTCAGTTTTGAGATCTGTCAGTTGTTAGAACTTCATCACGTTTGATAATAGACCGTGTTGTCCATCATCAGTAAGACTGTTCAACTTCAAAACATGTTGTGATTTAGATTTGTGAATGTGATTGTGTTCATGTTATTGTTAAACAGAAACAAATTGTGACAATAAATTTAAATGAATCAATGACAATGATCATGATCTGAAGATTTTTGTCCAGTTTCCAGTAGAGGCGCTGGTCCGAGAATAAGGATCGTCGTCGTTAATGCGGACAGACGCGTCTGCAAAAATAAGGATCATCCGCATTTTCGCTGACGATTCTGATTTCCGATGCGAAAAACAGATTCTGCGATAATTTTCCTGATGCATTTCACCATGACTTTTTAATATTACTGAGTCAGAGACTTGCGTTATGAGCAATAAAACTTTCGGAAGAGCGTGGATGAAAAAAAATGTCTGTGAAAATGCGGACAGTCCTTATTTTTTAGGACGCAAGTTCATGAGGATATCCTCGTTTAAGCGGATGATCCTCATTCTCGGACCAGCGGCCCATGGAGAACTTTGTGCATTAAGTGAAGTAAAGTGAGTTTATGCGCTTTCATTGGCCGATCTTTTCGAGTGGCTTCGAATTTAAGTGAGAGAGGGCCTACTTAACTTAGCGCAACTTAAGTTCAATGGAAAAGGCAATACGTCACACCACAGAGATTTTGACACGTCTTGCTTTAAACAGGTGACGCACCTCACACATAACTGACGCACACGGCATTGCAAACACATAAAATAGAAAAATTATTGAACATCTCAGAATAAATTTCCAGTTAGTACCTTAAATATGACGAAAATAAGAATTGTTCAAACTTAAAAAATAGTTAAGTAAACTTAAACTTAAGTGAAATACATAAGTGAAAAAATCATAACAAATAGGGGGTTTGACTAAAATATCATAAGTTTGGTAGCGAAAACACCGGAAAATCGCAAGCTTACTCCTCGCGCAAACATCTTATAGCATTGATGCAAAATAACTAGTTCTAGGTCAACTTTGAGCTCAATTAGTTGAATTTAATGCGTTTTACAGGACCATGCAATCCTTTTTCTGAAATGTGTGTAAGTATGGCAGCGCTACTTCACAAGTGGGCCCATACTTTCGCGCCTGCAGCCTACACGGCTAGCTAACCATGACCTCCACGTAGGCTGACATCAGAACATCATTTCCGTGAAGTTAAAGTGTCCGATGGTCGATGTCCATGTCATGATTATCATTCAGGAAGAGGAATGAATAAATGACCAACTTTGATGCTAAGACATACATGTTTTTTTTTTTCTTCTTCATGTTTCTCCAGGTTGCTATGGCTACAGGACAGGTACTGTTTCAGAGGTTCTACTACTCAAAGTCGTTGGTCAAGCATAACATGGAGGTGAGTAGCATCCATGCTAATTTATCTGGTAGACAATTTTCTAGACTGCATCCTACTCTCCTGCAAAGGTACATGTAATAATAATAATAATAAAAACGTTACTTATAAAGCGCTTACCACCGAAGTCTCTAAGCGCTAAAGTTGAAGTAAAGTTGAAGCTGTCAAGGAAACAATAGAAAATATGCTTTTGATTATCTGCAACAGTAAACCTTATTGATTTGTTGCAATTTATTCTAAATATAAATTAAGTCAAACTTTTCGTAATGTATCCTTTAAGTAACTCTAAAACAATTTCTTTTTTCTGTTTTATTGATTCTCTTGTGTTCTTTTCATTTGCAGACGGTTGCCATGGGTTGCATCAATCTAGCATCAAAGATAGAGGAGGCACCTAGGAGGTTGAGAGATGTCATAAATGTGTTCCATCATATACGACAGAAAAGGAACAATAAGTAAGTATGCTATACATGTTATTTGTCAATTAAAAAACACAACAGGGGATACTGTGAAAAGCAAGGATAGGCATATGTCCAATGATGTTTGCTCCATTATAAGATCAGGGCCTGTTGCTTAAAACTTACACGTAGCATTGATGGTAACCTTGCCGTTAACAGTAACTTTCATGGAAACCTTGATTTGATTGACTGTTGAGTGATGTTGCCATGGTATAGTATTAATGACTGCTTTGAGAGAAATAGTTGTTTTTATAAGCTCAAGGGAAGGTTAGAATTGTGCTATTACCCGAGGCGTGCCGAGGGGAATAGCCCAATTGTAACCTTCCCGAGAGCGTATAAAAACAACTATTTCTCGAATATTAAAGCAGTCATTAATACTTTTATATGCCGAAAAAAAATAGACTAAAAAATAAAAAATACTTTTTTTTTTTGTCGAAGGTGAGAGTCGAACCCTTGCGTACAATGAGTGATGAATCTTACACCAACGCCTTACACCACTCGTCCATCGCGCGATGTTCACGTGCTTGGCAGTTTTGTACAATATATACATTAAAATGGATTGAAACCGGCTTCGGCGTGATGAATGCTTCGCAAAAGCTCCATTAAACGGACCCTTCTTTTACTTTTGCAATGCATATTGGCACGAACTTAGATCAAGATCTATCGGCAGATGTTGTTTTTTTGTTTTTGGAAGTTTATTTTCGTCTTCATGTCAACAATGCAAGATAAAATTGTCGGTAAGATCGATCGAGATTCAATTGTATTGAAATTACCGACCAATCCTTCGCACACATACGGTATCCTCGATCGCTCAAACCATTTTTTAACATGTAAACCTATGGGGTAACCATGGAGGCTGACCTATTTTTTTAATAACCATGGTTATTAAAAATATTAAATGTTTTATGCATGGTTACCGGGAATTTTACAGGAACAGTTGAAGTTTATGAATGCAATTTCGACCAATCAGATGGCTGGATTACTTAAGTGAGGTATATAATAGTTAATATTGATGGCAGAGTTGCCAATAATGGTAAGTTATATGCAACGGGTCCCAGTTCCTATCTTTGCTCTATGAGCACCATGCAAACAACTTCACTGACAATTTCTAGCATTTCAATACAACAATAAGACATTGTTGCACTTGCCATTTTTAAAATTAGCAGTGTTATTTCAATATTATATGGGTTCTGCTGAAATACATGCAGTCTGTCGTAACCAAATTAAATTACGATGTGTTTATTATTTCAATGATTGTAATAATTTGTTCAGCATTTGTCATTATGATGCATTTAGTTTGTCATATTACATGAAACATGTAGAGTATGATATATATTCTTCCCATCTTTTCCCCCTCCAGAGCCGCTGAACCTATCATATCCGACCAAAAATATATCAACCTGAAAAATCAGGTGATTAAGGCTGAACGAAGATTACTCAAGGAACTTGGTTTCTGCGTCCACGTCAAGCATCCGCACAAGGTAAATATCAATACTAGAGGGTTGCTTGCAAAGTATTTTGACCAACTTACAACAAATCACAAGTGATTGCGACAAGAATGAGAACTCAATTTCTTTTTTCGTTGGATTTATTTAGAGATAAAAGTATTTCATGGAAGAAAAAAAAAAAGAGAAAATTGTTTGCTGATGTTATATTCTTTGCTTTAATACCTAATGAATGAGATAACAATTCTTGGTACACATGTTATAAGAGAAAACAAATTGTAGTCCATATCTTGAGAATTTAAATGCCGTTTCATAGACAGATTTTAAGTTGTGTGTAAGTCGAATATCTATGCAAGCTACCCTCGTCCTATTTACATGTATTTCTGATGTTTGTTTACCCTTGAATAACCAATAATCTCTTGTTTTTCTCCTCCCATCATTTCATCATGTTGGTTGTTTCTTAATGATTTGTTACCTTTTCTTCATGCTCATGACGACAGTAATTCTCATGTATTGTGTAACAATTGAATAACCTGCACCAATAACATGCTTTCTCTCCACTAGCAGATATTTTTATGAAGTATTTATTATATTCCAATGTGTTGATAGTCGAAGGCTCATGTATCCATCTTAATTGAAGATCCCATTCTAACTTGATTTGTGTGCCCTTTTCTTCCCTCCCTGCCCTTTCGTCACTGAAGATGATAGTGACGTACATACAGGCGCTGGAGTGTGAGTCCAATACTCAGCTCGTCCGCACAGCATGGTGAGTACACATCTCTTTGTTTCTTTGCCCCGCATATGGTGTTGTGATCAGAAGTGAATAATGTCCAAAATAAAGGCATCGTAATTAAATTTATCGTAAGAAAGGGAAGGATCGGGTTGTTTTGAGTCCTACTTTCTCTAAAGGGAACAGGGGGATGGGATGGTAATACTTTCCTTCAGTAAATATCGGTTTGATGATTAATTTTAGTTCAACATGATGCGTTTATGAAAGATTTAAGGTGGGAATAATGGTGTACATGTAGGACCAAACAAACCGACATGCAGCTGAATAGTAAAATGATAGGAATAATATAGCTTCCAAATTGTGATTTTAGGAAAGAAGGAAGGAAGGATTTTGGTGTCATGGGTGGGCGAAATGAACTCGTTATCTATAGTTACAGAGATAATTTGGCAGTAAAAGTTAAATATTCCTTTCAGGCCTCCCATGTACAAATCGGTTATTTTCTCACTGAACTTGGTAGATCATGTAGCGTAGTTAAAAATCATGAGCTTAATATTAATGGGAAAAACTTCAGCAATTTACACATAAGTCTCATGTATCGGAAAAATACCATTCTCAATCAATAGTGTTGAAGAAAGACATTTTGTTATTTGGGCTTTAAGCTTACTTTGGTAAAATAACAAATAGATAGTTTGTTTTGGCATCTGATAGTTGAGTTTTAGAATTCCTTACTGGAACTGCTTGCTACAACCATTTTTCATAGATGTTAATTCATGATAATTTACGAAGGGTTTTTCAGGGTATATGTTCCAGGTTCCATTCACTTCTGACCACACCACCCATGCAAATATACAACTCTTTGAAAAAATGTGCCTTACATATTTTCTGTTTAAAAAAGATCTTTCTTTTACTAAAATTCTGACAGCTTTGCTTTTGTATGGTCATGCAAATTGCTTAGAAGATAAACATGAGTCTGTGAAGCTATGTGAATGTTAATTAAAGGGTTATCAAAAGAAATTTTAAACTATTTTCAAAATGTTAAATTGTGTGTGCTTTGACATTTTAGGGCAGGAAATAATGGATTATTATCCTCTTTTAATGTGTTATGGCAGATAAAATCGCTTAATTATGAACGGTTTAGTGTTTCATGATCAATTCTTGTTTGCATGCTTCTAGTTACACTGTAATTAAGTGTTATTTTGTTGCTGTTGATAAATAAAACCATGGGTGGGGAGTAACAAAGACAATTGCCCTAATGTTGTTTGGATTATTATTGTATTTCGTGTTCCAGAGATGTAATGTTTGTTCTTTGGAGTTTGCATAACCATTTACTACTTATCTTTCACAAGTATACCTCTAGTAGTTGTTTAAGTCATGTTGTAATGGAAATAGGCTCTATGAAAATATAGGATAGTGGTTAATGCCTATTTATTTTATTTTATCCCCCTCCATCTAAAGATGTAGGTTGGTAAGTAGAGAAAATCACTTCTCTCCAAACGGCGTGTGTTACGCACACAACCTTCGCACACGCCCGCTCAACATCACCAGGTCACTTCAGCCAGCCAGCCCGCCAGCTGGGGGGCCTTGCCCCGCAAGGACTGGACAGCTGACCGACTGGCATGTGGCTACGTCCGTCCAAGCTCTCCCCCTGGTCATTTCCTCTCAGTCATCTGAGTAAAGGAGGTGTGCACTCCGTTGGTCTCGTGGGTTCCTTACAGAATGGTCTTCTCACTGCCTGTCTACACACAAGAGGACATCACTTTTGTCAGGTATACCAGTACGGTATACCACAGGGTGGTGTTCTTTCATTATTTGTTTTTATTTATTTTGTTTAATTGCTTTGCTTCATTAAAAAATTAATTCTTTTTGTTGCCCTTTTAAGGACTGTGATGAGTACAGTAAGTTGTAGTTGGTGGAGATGATTTGAATTTCCTCATGCATAGATGTTAAGAAATTGATTTTCAAAACGTATTTAAATGTGTTTACTTATTATAAGATGTCAATAATTGAGCAAATGGGTGGTATATGATAATTAGACATCAAAGTAGATTTTTACAGAGTATTTCAGTTGTCATATTAAGTACATCTAATTAAATCTTTTGAATATTAAGCTCCATTTACAAAGGCAATAGGAATGTTCATATTTTACACAAATTGATTTGCTTCTACATGTATATGTAGGCAAAAGAATGTAAAACTTGGTTGAAAAATGAAAGGTTTGGAATGACATTGTTTCTTTAATCTTATTAGTTACTCAGCAGTTTCAAGGAAATGATACAAGAGATCATGCTTCTAGTGTAGATGCTAAATTGGATGTTTAATTTAAACATATTCTTGCATATTTAAGTGAGTTTAAGTAAGGTACAGTTGCTTAGAAATAGCCATCGCACATGCTCAATTGTGTTGATGACTCTTCTATAGACTCTTTACAGATCGGTGATTAAAAACCTTTCAAGTCTTCCATGAAACCATCGGCGTTGGACCTTATGTGAACAATATCAAGACATTTGGAAACGAACCCTTGACAGAATTCTGGACACGACTGGAGTGGAACAATGCAAGGTCACCCAGAGATCATCCAGATTGAAGGTCAACCTGGCTCATTTAAGAATGAGCTTCAAACGACCTGCCCCTGGAATTCCAACAATTTGTCATCACAGTTCACACAAAGCTTGGTACGAAATAGGTGAACCTGTTTCAGTGCTAGGCCAGAACTTCAGAACCAAAAAACACATCACTTGCAGCATGTCACAATCGAGCTCAAAGCTTGGTTGCATGAACGAGTTCCAAGAAGAAGATATGCATGTTTTCTGATTATTGTTACACAAAAGCATGATCAAATTCATCTTTCTTGTGTAACACACTGTTACTAGAGATTTAGATTTATTGATGATGTTAAGTTCCATGTCCATTGCAAATGTATTAACGTGCTTTGAAACATGTGTTATTCATGTCCCAGTACCCGTACATGATTTTGTAGACTTTTGCAGATGTGGAGATTTTGAGAACCTGATGACAGATCTTTGTCCTACCTGACACTAGACTGGAGATGTAGACCATACAAGGAAATTCTTTGGAGGAAACATTGACTGTTCAGAAGAAAGACTGTTCAGAAGTAGATGATCATCGTCTTCACAAACTGTGAATCACTTGAAACTGGATGTGACTGATACGCCCACGGATGCAGTTCTTTGTGTTGATTTAAAGATTGTGCAATGGTGTCTGTTCTTTCTTGAAGTTATATAACCTTGCAGATAGCAGACAGTGAATTTGGACAACCTTCATAACCTACACTCGCCTCAAGAGATGGTCAAAGACGGATGGAGAGACATTTTTAGGAAAGACAGCACATTTGATGATAATCATCATCATTGATGAGGCACAATAAAGTAAGATAGTGGTGTTGAAGAATGCATAATGTTAGCAGAATCACAAATCGAAACATGGTATTCAGGAAGACTGAACAAAAGACATGGCTGCTGCTGCCAGCTATTGTGGCACATACACCCTAGTTTAGGTATAAGCTTTCAAAAACGTAATATTAAAAAGGGGGAAGGGTCAGAATGTGTCGTGATCAGGTTTTTTAAGGGCTTGAACGAATGGGCAGTAAAATGGTATTCCCAAACGGCAATGTGCCTACACATCTGTTTGCTAGCAATTTTCTCTTGCAATAAATGCATTAGATCATGTCTACTCGGCACATGATACTGATAGGCAGTCTAGTATTTATCTAATTTCTTGAAGATGGTTGAGAAAAAAAATGGCACAATCCCTATCATACTGCTGGCTCATGCCCTCTTGTTAATATTCCTTGTAATTGCATTAGAACTATTGTTTCTAAGTAATAACTATTAGAACTAAGTAAGGAAAGTCTAACCAGGCTGCTACATTACAAAGTACTTGCCCAGGCAGCCATCAATCGAGTAAGGAATTTTTACTCTCTGTGGTTTCAACTTGCTTCTTTATTTGATCAAACTTAATTGTTCATTCCCCCTCCCCCATACAAAACAACAACAACAATTTATATGACATAAATACTACTATCCGTATTTTGTGTGCCGATCCCTCAAATTTTGAATAGTATTGTTATGCTCACCTGATATGGGTAAGTAAAATTCACTCAAGTTCTTTGCGCCTGGTCTTTGGGCAGGTATTTTGATGGCAAGCACTCTGGTTTGTACTTTAAGGGTGCGTTCAAGCGATATTTAAAAGCTAGAATCACAAAACAAAACGCTGTTAAAAACCCAATTTCTGTGGGAGAGCTTTCAAGCAATTTTTCATCAACGTTGATTCTCGCTCATTTCAAGCCCAACATCTGCTCATCACACTGCAGTTTGACCCAGGAAGTATAGGTCAACTTCGCCGCGTACTTTCTGAATTTGTTTACTGTCGGCCAAACCGGAAGCAGGCTACAATAATGACGTTATAGAATCATGATTGATATCTCCGTTCGTTCAAGCGATTTTTAGCGACCGTGATTCTGCAGAATCGCGATTCAAAACGCATCTTTTTCAGCGTTTCATGTTTGCATTTTTAAACAGGTTAATTTTTACGACCAACTGTGTTTTACACTAGAAGTCTTTAAAAATCGTGTTTCTAGGGTGAAAAAGTGTCGCTTGAACGCACCCTTAGAACTAGAAAGTTTTGTGTATGGAATACTTTGTACTAGGTATGTATGAACGTGTAGTTGTAGTGTTGAGTTCATGTAACCAAGTGTGTAAGGCAGTTGCAAGGTCGATAAAGCCTCTGAGCAAGTGAAACCATTCCCCCATGGTCCCACGGAAAGAACCAGGAGTGCACTCTTCATTTCTTTGACGATGACGAAAATATAGACAGAGAGTTTCTACTGGCGGAGTGATCGGGTGATTTGAAGGGCGTGTGGATGGTAAAACGCCAAAGCTTGGTAAGCAGAAACCTTTGATTTTATATGCTGCATCAAACACAATCGCCCACAAAACCGGTCGGTATTCTGTAAAGATGCATGAAGTTGGAGATTCCAACTTGGACTTTCTTATAGCAGTAAACAAAATTTACCATGACCAGTTGACAGCAGTTGCATTCTGTAAAGTTGCAGGAATTTCGAGCAACTTCTCCAATTTTCTGTTCACAATAAACAAAAGCTTCATATTCCTGAGTTAAGGAGACTGCCTAGAACTGATTCATATTATGTAGAATATCGATTAGCACCACATATTATTCTTCTTGAAGACGTTGATCTCAATTTCTGTCATTCTGTTTGCTCTTCTTGTGCAGGAACTACATGAATGACAGTCTAAGGACTGATGTCTTTGTTCGCTACACCCCAGAGACCGTGGCCTGTGCTTGTATATCCCTCTCCGCTAGGCAAATTGGAGTAAGTATTAATGCTTTAAAATTTTGAGATCCTATTTGTTGTTTTTTTTCTTCTTTTTCTCCAGAAAATGGTAGAGGATATCGAGTGGAACTTGTTATGAAGAGCAGTTGTCACAAAACTCTCAAAAGAAATTATGCCAGTTTAAGTTCTTTGCATTCTGTTGGGTTTGCTTCTTGACATGACAAGGATTCATGATAGTGTTCCTAGTCTAAGGAGTTCCATAGTGATCATGATTTAACTATCAAGAAAGAAATGTATGGGATTGTTTTTGATCTGGCATCCATATGTGTACCTTAAAGGGGTGTAGGACGTGCTATGGGCAACAAACGCCCTTTGGTCAATATCCTAACAACTTAAATGCCTAACCTCAAGCCTGGACTGACCACTTACAAAAACTTCAGACCCTCCTTTCAACCATAACCCTTGATCTTTGGAAAAAGTACCTCTAGCGATTGTCAACATAGCCTGTGTCGGAGCGCCTTTGAGTGAACATGTCTGTATCACACCAAAGAGGTTTATCTGCACCAGCTACGACATAGGTCTGAAAAAGCTGACAGCATGGCAGGCGAAAACTTACCGTAGCTGTTTCTTTCTACAGAAGATGGAACTAATTAATAATCTTCTTGTTGTTTATATCCTCAGCTACCTTTGCCTAGCAATCCTCCATGGTATGGACTTATGGGAGCCACTGATGAACAAGTAGAAGACATCTCCCTCATCATCCTCCGATTGTACACCAGGAAGATCGTAAGTAACCCTCCCTACCTTGTTTACATTATTGTACGGTTGCAAATGTTCAGCCTTCTACACTGTTATCTTGCTGTAGTTCAGGATAATAACACCTAGCTAAATCTTGGACTAAAAGTCATGAACTTTTAAATTCACATGTTGTCCTGGTGTGGCACAGGTATTAACTTTGCATTGTTTTCCTTTATTAGCAAACGATGTAATGTAAGGTCTAACAAAGCTTACAGCATGGCAGTCAAATACTTACAGAAACAGATATTATTCTTCAGATGTAATTGTAATTGCTCAGTATTTTCTTGTGCATGTATATGACGCTATAATTGTAGAATTTGATGCAATATATGCCTTTTTGTTCAATAATTTTCAGTTAATCATATTTCTATTATCAACGATTTGCTGATCTAGTTATCCAGTGCTTGTTATTCCATAGGTTGAAGATGGAACACAGCGTCTGCATTTGATCTAGTTAGTTATAAAGGATGTACAGTCAAACCTGCTTTAGAGACCACCTGTCTACACAGACCACATTTTTTTGTCTCGATTGAAAATGGTTTCTCATTGATACATGTACTAAAGGAACCTGTACTTAAAGATCACCTGCCTATAAAAACACTTTTCTTGTCTCCCTTGGGTGGTCTTTGTAGACAGGTTTCACTGTATATTATGATGTGATTTGCTTTGCCCTGAGTACATCTCCCTCCATTCTTGACCCCTACAGAAAAGCTATGAATACTTGGACAAGAAGGTGGAGCGATGTCGGATGGTCATCCAAGAGGCCAAGCTCAGGGCCAAAGGTCACCTGGCGGAGTCCGGAGCCAACAGTCAGGCAGGGACACCCAGCAGCTTCTCACCTCACACATCAAGACCGAGTGAGTATCCCTCTAGTTTAGTCCACTGATAGAGTTCAATTTTCTTGACAGAAGCTCCTCTTATATTTTCTTGAAAGATAAGGTTCCTGAAGATGATTTCTATGTTATCTGCAGTTTTGTTTTTTAGACGTGGCTCTACAGATTTCCTTAGTTATTTATTAGTTTGATTTGATCTAAATTATGATGATATGATTTGGTTTATCAAAAACAAATGAATCTTTTACCATGGCCATCGCTCTTAACTTGACTTGTATTTAGGCTTCATACAGTTATTTTCAGATGAGTCCATTACTTCTGTTTCTCATGTATCATATTTTTATGTCAAATTTGTTATGACAATATTTATTTAAAAAAAATTGTGAATATTGTATTTCAATCTACTTCTTGTTCATTAATTCTTTTAGCCAGTGCTGCTGTTTTTTGTTACGTACACTGATTTTAAAAAAAAAAAAAATCTTTGATGTATTTCCTTCCTATTGCTGTCATATACCGAGTCTCTTCTGACTATAATGACATTTTTTTCTTCACCCCTACACAGGTTCGCCCAAATTGAACAACGACTCTCCGAGTGGTCTGCCTAAGATGTATAAAGTCAACTCTAATTCTATCAAGGAGGAAGCTCACTCTGGATCGGCCTCAGGAAGCACCAAGAGCAGGTAGGTTTAGAGATTTGAGTCTCTGGAATTAAATGTAATGTTTGCGTTTGATCTCTATTCTTTCATCCTGGATTGGATGATTTTGCAAAAGATGAAAGCCTGCTACTACATGAGAATAAATGAAAGATCTCCCTCCAAAGTCCAAACTTATATCTAAAGAATTTCTCCCATATCCTGCGTTTTTGTTGTTGAAAGATAATTAATGATTAACCTCTCTCTCAGCAAACCCTCTTTCAATGGCTCCAAGTACTGTTGTTCATTTTGGTAATAAAAAGATATTTTCAACAGACAAGAAGTTTCATTTATTCAGAGAGATCACTGTTCTCTTTTTCTTTTTTTTTACAGGGAAAATGGCAAAGCGGACAAACACAAAAGAACCCCATCTTCGTCCATCTCGACCAGGAGCCGATCTTCAAGTCGTGGTCGAAGATCCAACAGCCACGACTCTGCCATGGACAGGCATTCCTCCCGGGACCGAAGCTCACGGAGCCGGAGCACCTCACCTCGCAATAACCGCAAACGGCAATCCAGCAGCAAGCGCAAGAGGGACGACCACAAGCGCAGCCGGCGGGACCGCTCCGTCAGCCCCAAGCACCGCCACGGGCACAAGACGAAACGGAACCGGACCCCGCCCCGAGGCTACAGCAGCCGAAGCAGGTCGAGATCGAGGAGCAGGTCGCGGGAGCGTCGGCACAAGCGCCACTATAGTCCATACAATGACTCTACCAAAGAATCCTCCCACTCTCGCCACAAGAGTAGGAGCAAACACAGAAGGGAGCGGTCCACGTCCCGCTCTAGATCCCCTATATCGCGCTCCCGTAAATCATCCAAAAGAGACTCTGGGAGATCCCATGCCAATGACCATCGGAGAAGGTGACGTCAATTTATCACTGTGCCTTGAATGAAGAATATGTTGTATCATCGATGTTTATCAATGACTTTATAATGTGTAAGTAAAGATATAAACAGGATCGTCTTTATAATACAGTACCATTTATAATTAATGTAAAGATTAAGATTTGATGAGATGAAGGGTAGAAAGTCTGGATTCTACATGTTGAGGCGTGCATTGTCACATTGCTCAGGATGAAAATAACTTTTTTGTGTTTTGTGTGTTTAAAGAAAATTTGATAACATGTTTTTCACCCTTGGTATCACTTTTTTTTTAAAAGAAATTGGTATATAACATGTATCTCTTTATCAAGAACTGAAATGCCAAAGGAAGGTAAAGATCTTGAAATATGCTGCTTACTTGAATCGAAGAAGAATGTAATTGTACTATTTTAACATACATGTAGATCACTCTCTGAAGTGATAGAAATTCATGCAGGACCTGTACTGGTAGTAATATATCTGGATACATTGGTAAATGCAACCATTATTTTCAAATCTTTGTGAACATTTTCTTCTTTTAGCTACCAGGGATCTGTTTCACAAAGCCTTTTTTTTCAATGACAAACGACAAAAATCAGTGAGAAATCTGATGATAACCAATCAGAAGCAAGGATTTCAGTAGCTTATAACAAAATCTTACAATTGTCACTGATGACAAGTTTTATGAAATGCCCCCCCCCCCCTGATATCTTTGGTTAGACCTGAAGAGAGGGAGCAGCAATTTGGAAGATTGTATCCTTTATAATACCAAATGCGCTACAGTGTATTTTCAAATGTATATTTCCCCCTGAATTTTATGTTTAACGCACCCTATGAGACTATGAACAAGTTTCCCCTCACCCCATCAAAAAAAATTGATATCAAATGAAGAAGAAAAGAATTGTATATTAGCATTTTGTTACTTGTAACAAATGTTCTAGATGCGTTAATCAGGCTAGCATGATATTTGAAAGGGGGGGGGGGATGGATTCTAGAAATAGGATACACACAAGATTCTTTCATTTTTATAGTAGGGATAATTAAAAGAATCAATTAAATCATGCAGTCTTGTCTGGCACTGTTGCTATCTGTTTAAGATTTAAAATTGTTTCATTTGTTGATAAAAGAGAACATTCCTGTCCTATATTCTTATTTCTCCCCCATGCATGATGTTGTTTCTTTGTGTGGACAGTAGGTAACTGTTTGATAGCTATACTATTATACTTTGTGCTGTTATGTTGTGTTATCTGTTACTTCAAATGGCAGATTCATTAGCAATGCTGCAGTGGCTTATATTCGACAATACCTCTTATGTTTACAATATTTTAACGGTACTAATTAACATATTAAATTTACATAAGGGGAATGAGAGCGAAACTCGTCTTTGCCCATAACTTCACAGAATATTTTTTTTAAAAAACTTAAAATAAAGAGAGTAGTAACTATATATAGATATTCATAGACTGGACTGGGATAACTCCAAATTTCTTATTTGTCAGACAGCTGCTTAGCAATTGAGCATGATTAAAATTTCATGAGAAAAGTTTTTACCCTGGTTTGTCATGCAATTAAATTAAATAATACTTTGGACCTTTGCTAAGACTGCATGGATATGCGTTTTGGATGTGTCCTGAATTTAACAATTAAAAAAAAGAAAAGAAAATCGAATTAAATAATACTTTGGACCTTTGCTGAAGACTGCATGGATATGTGTTTTGGATGTGTCCTGAATTTAACAATTAAAAAAAAGAAAAGAAAATTAAATTAAATATTTCTTTGGACCTTTATTGAAGAACTGCATGGATATGTGTCTTGGATGTGTCCTCAATTTAACATTTAAAGAAAAAAAAAAAAAAAAAGGTTCATGATGTAGTATTGTATCTATAGTTAAGAAAGAAGAAAATGTGTAGTATTGCTGTTAATGGCCTGATCAGATATGACGCGATAAACTGCCTCGGAGAAGAAAAACACCGCTTTATTTGACATGTAAATGAATGGCAACTCCGCACATCAAAGGTCCTGTGCATATTTACTGAACTCTGCATTGCAAGATAGGAAATGTGAAACGTATCGCACTTTACATCATAAAAAAATTACCACGTTTTTGCCGCGTCGAATCTGAACGAGGCTACAACTTGCACTTTGATCTGCAAATTTACTCTAAAGTCTGCATACTGGTAAAATATCTGCACCTATTAGCTACTCTTCATTGGTTGGATTGTCCAAAAATGAAGGAAAAAATATGTTTGTTGTCCTCACAATAATATAGTTATGAATTCCTGATCGTTTCTGATATTTCTTTTTCCTATTGTATTTTTAACGATGTCGAAGGGTCCCTTCTCTTCCTATGATTGTACACGATATTTTTATATAAAGGTTACTGAAAACAAGTTTGGTCATATTATGTGTCGAACAAATCAATGTGTACGGTTATTTGTTATGAGTTGAACATGAATTTTACTTTTAAGGAGTTTTGTGAATTGACAAGATAACTAGTATTGCTGTTGCCAAGCTGTTTGACTGTATTGAATTTTCTTTTGTAATAAAGTCATCACTTCCCTTTGTGAATGAGACAAATATATATATACATAGAACCAAAAGTGTCCTCATTTCTGTACCTTACAAGCATTTTCATAATATAACCAAATTTAATGCATACGTTGTAGCCTTAAAATGCAATATATTCAAAAGCAAAAATTCAAGTATTTTAGACTTTTCATAAATTCCTCATCAAGAACATGAAATCTCCTTGATTAATAATTTGATTCAAAATTTTATTCCTTTTAAAATTACTTTTACACAAAATTTCAAGGATGCTAACGGCTTTCCATAATTAAAGATAATTAAGTTCAACTTTGTGAAACGCCCCACAGTTCGAATAACCCTCGCACAACCACTATATAACATCATCTCCTCATCCACGTTTTGTGTAGGTGTAAACACATAGCTCGAAGGTTGGATGTGAACATTTCAGATTGTCACACAGTCTCACACACACTCTTTCCACTACGCCCCACATAAGCACATTTATAATATCATGTACCAAATTTCTGTAAGTTTTAGTTTTACTGCTTCAAATTATTTTCCTCAAAAGACTATTTGCTTTTTCTAAATGGTCTAGAAATAAATAACTATTTTCTACCTGGTTTTTCGTTGGTATATCCTTTATTTTGATCACTAAAAATGACGCTATCGAATGAGTATGATAATACGACTGCCCAAAATGATATCTGCATGATATAAAAAAAAATTCTTCTGTATTATAATTGCACTTTATAATCAATCAACGAAAAAAGACTTCAGGGAAGTTGCATTCACATCTCTGGCAGCCCTGTCAGTGATACGAACAAAATAAATGATACATCAGAGCAAACACAAGGAGGGCGAGATTCTATATTCAGTATTCTGATATGGCTTACAATCTATATAAAAATATGCTTGCATGAAATATTTTTTTTCCATTTCAAAATAAAGAGTCAGTATTGATTTTGTGGTCCATTACTTATCATTCAAGTCAGCCATGTTTTTTAAAAAATGGGCCTTTGGGACGATTTCTAATGTATCAAACTACGTGGTGCATAAATGCTTGAAGCAAAGTCAAATTCAAATTCAAATAATTGACTGAAATAAATTGTAGCATGATAGGATAGCATTATTATCAAACAAAAGAAAACCGAACTTAATCAAGCTAGATAGAAACAAAACAAAATACAACTCAAGAAAACAAAGAAAAAATTGTGATAAGACTCTGTACATAATTATGGTCACATATTACATTCAATAAAAATGAATATCGCTATTATTACAACCAAAGCAAAACACAGTCATCAATATAGGAACATGTAGAGTACATAAAACGAAACAGAAACCTCAACGACACAAAGGCAAACTATCCAACAAAAAATGTTGCTACCTAATTGGGGCTGATATAAAGATTCGCGAGATGCAACATCATTTTCACAATATTTCTCGTTCGTAACCCGGCATCACCGCAATGCTCTCAAGACATCGGGATGATTATTTTTTACATTTAGAAATATTTTTTTATTTTCTTCAAATGTATTTATAGAGGATTATACGATTGGCTTTAGTACTGTTGTACATATTATAATTAGAACAATGACAAAATCGACAGTAAAGACATGTATTCACAATAGTAATGCAAATTTTAAATTTCATGATCCAATCCTGATGAAATATTCCCAAAACTTTGTATTACCTTTAAATACAAGAAATTGGAAAGTATATAAAATATTTACTAATATCAATTCTTTTTGTAGAATAAAATAAAAAAGGATCATATAAACTTTTACAAACTTTTGCAATGAAAAGAATATATATACAAATCATAACGATATGCAATCTTCCTGAAAACTGCATACAGTTTGAAAACAGTGCACACACATGTGGCAATATGGGAAAGCACATAATGGCATTAATGCCTAGTTCAAGGACTAAAGCTACTTTGTCCTATTTTGATAACATTTTATGAGCAGTCATCTTCAAGTAGCGTTTCTTCTATAATATTTTTCGCCTATATAAAATGAAAACGAAAGGTCACAAATCAATGTTTGCTTATACCACACAATTTAACATTTATTCGTATACATACAATTTGTAGTAATATTTACATTAACAAAATTGTCCGCTGCTATTATTGTATCATGTAAATGATCGTTGTAGTAATACAACTAAAATCATAATGTTTAAACAAACTTTATAGTCATGATAGTAAAGCAAATTTTACTGAATTTGTTACCCAATATACATGATCATAGCAGCAATAGAACTACTAACGTTTTCATATAAAGCTTATACTAACGCATATATTCAATTCTGTTATTATCCACTGTGCATGATCATTGTAATAAGAGAAAGGAGCAGTCCTCATACAACCTTGCAACGAAGAAAATATCTTCTGTAATTATTATCATATGTATATGATTATTGTAGCAATAGAGCTAAAACAGTATTCATACAACGACTACAAAATATATTCTGTAATTAAGTATCCCATGTATATGATTATTGTAGGAACAGAACAGCAACATTTTCAAACAACCTTGCAATAAAGAAAATATCCTCTGAAATTATTAAGCTACCTTATATACATGATTGTTGTAGCCATACAACGAGAACTGTTTTCATACAGCCTCATAATGATAACGCAGATATTCATTTAAGTGATTACATATACATGATTATTGTAGTAAAACAAAGGAACAGACATCATAAAACCTTGCAATGAAGAAAATATCTTCTGTAATTTTTATCATATGTATGAGATTATTGTAGCAACAGAACGGCAAAGATTTCAAAATATTCTCTGAATTAATAAGCTTCATTATTATGTATGCCATACAACTATAATCGTTTTCATACTTCTAAATTAACGCCTAGATTCATTTCAGTTATATAAATGATCATTGTAGTAAAACGAATGAACAGTCTTCACAAGACCTTGCAATTAATAAAATATCTTCTGCTATTATTGTCTTATGTACCTGACAATCGTAGCAATACAAATTAAACAATAATCATTTAGCCTCAAAGTAAAGACAATTTGGTCTGTAATTATTGTCTTATTTACATGATTCTTCTAGCAATACAAATCGAACAGTTTTCAAACCACCTTAGGATGAAGCATCTATTTATTGTATGAATTACCTTATGTTCATTATCATTGTAGAAAGAAAAAAACAGAAACAATATTCATCCAACAACAAAATGTATTCTGTAATTATTATCATATATGTATATGATTAATATAGCAACAGAACAGCAAAACATTTTAAACAGCCCTGCAATAAGGAAAACGTAACCTGAAATTATTAAGCTACCTTATATACATGATTGTTTGTAGCCATACAACGAGAACCGTTTTCATATATACAGCCTCATAATAACGCGGTTATTCATTTCAGTGATTACATAGTGTACATGACAATTGTAGTAAAACTAATGATTAGTCATCATAAAACCTTGCAATTAAGAAAACATCTTCTGTAAATATTACCATATGTATATTATTATTGTAGCAACAGAACAGCAAAAGATTTCAAACAACCTTGCAATACAGAAAATATCCTCTGAAATTAGTAAGCTACCTTATAAACATGATTGTTGTAGCCATACAACGAGATCCGTTTTCATTCAGCCTCATAATGATAACGCAGATATTCATTTAAATGATTATATAGAGTACATGATCATTGTAGTAAAACAAATGAACAGTAATCATAAAAACTTCTGTAATTATTATCATGATGATTATTGTAGCAACAGAACGACAAATATTTCAAAATATTTTCTGAAATTATTAAGCTTCATTATATGTAGCCATACAACTATAATAGTTTTCATACAACCTTAATATATAAACGCCTATATTCATTTCAGTTATATAAATGATCATCGTAGTAAAACAAACCAACAGTCTTCATAAAACCTTGCAATTAATAACATATATTCTGCTATTATTGTCTTATGTACATGACAATTGTAGCAATACAAATTAAACACTAGTCATTTAGCCTTATATAGTTAAGACAATTCGGTATGTAATTATTATCATATTTACATTATTCTAGCAATACAAACTGAACAGTTTTCAAACCACCTTAGAATGAAGCATCTATTTATTGTATGAATTACCTTATTTTCATTATCATTGTACGACAAAAACACAGAAACAATATTCATCCAACAACAAAATGTATTCTGTAATTACTATCATATATGTATATGATTATTGTGGCAACAGTACAGCAACATTTTCAAACAACCTTGCAATAAAGAAAATATCCTCTGAAATTATTAAGCTACATTATATACATGATTGTTTGGAGCCATACAACGAAAACCATTTTCATTCAGCCTCATAATGATAACGCAGATATTCATTTCAGTGATTATATAGAGTACATGATCATAGTATTAAAACAAATGAACAGTCCTCATACAACCTTGCAACAAAGAAAATATCTTCTGTAGCAATATTTATCGTAGCAATAGAGCTAAAACAGTATTCACACACCTAAAACATTTATTCTGTAATTACTAAATTAGTATCCCAAGTATACGATCATTGTAGGAATAGATCAGCAACATTTTCAAACAAAAGTGACCTTGCAATAAAGAAAATATCCTCTGAAATTATTAAGCTACCTTATATACATGATTGTTGTAGCCATACAACGAGAACAGTTTTCATATATACAACCTCATAATAACGTAGATATTCATTTCAGTGATTACATAGTGTACATGATTATTGTAGTAAAACAAATGAACAGACATCATAAAACCTTGCAATAAAGAAACGGTCTTCTGTAACTATTATTATATGTATATGATTATTGTAGCAATAGAACGGCAACAATTTCAAAATATCCTCTGAAAATTATTACGCTTCATTATATACATGATTGTTGTAGCCATACAACTATAACCGTTTTCATACAACATTATAATAATGCAAATATTCATCTTAGTTATTACCTAGTGTATACGATCATTGTAGTAAAAGATAAAACAAATGAACGGTCTTCATAAAACCTTGCAATGAATGAAACATCTTCTGTAATTATTGTCTTATGTACATGACGATTTTAACAATACAAACGCTAATTGTACAGCCTCATAAAAAAACTTAATTTGATTTGTAATCATTGTCTCATTAACATGATTTTCCTAGCAATACCAATTGAACAGTTTCAAGTCTATTTATGATGAGCCACATATCCATTGTTTTTATCAATGTATGTGTACTATTATTGTAGGAATAGAACTTGAACAGTATTCATGCAATAAATAAAACGTCTTCTGCAAATATTATCCTACATGTATGTACATGATTATTCTAGCAATAGAACTGAAACAGTATTTATACAACCTTATCGTAAAGAGAAATATTTTCTGTAATTATTATCACATAAACAAATTATATAGGATTATTGTAGCAATAGAACTAAAATAGCATTCATACAACATTACAGTACAAAAATATAAAGGTACTGTGATTACTGTATCATGTATAGGATTATTGTAGCAACAGTATTCATAAAACCTTACAATGAAGGAAATATCTCCTGATATAATGATCATCTGTATGATATTGTAACAACAAAACTGAAACACATTTCATATACAACTATAAAATAAAGAAAATATTTTCTCCATTTATTATCATATGCATATGTTTTTGAGTGTACTGCTCTTTGGACCGGATGCATGGACTCTGAAAACAGCAGATGTATCAACATCTTTGAGACTTTTGAAATTCCACTGTGGAGGAAGATGGCAAAGATAAGTTTGTTGGATAGGGTGACAAAATGATCAAGTTTACAAAAAGTGGGGGGGGGGGGCTGAAATTAGTAACAACATGGTAGGAGAGACAGAATAAATTAATTGTGCATATCCCAAGGCATGATAGACTGCTGAGAAAAATCATTCAGGGAAGGATGGAAGGGAAAAGACGAAGGGAAAGGGAAAAATGATAATATTTGATGGTATCAAAGCAAATAATACATACCAAGAGATGAAGAAAAGAGCTTAAAAAAAGAAAAGAATGGTGTGGTTTTCATAATATCCTGCTAAAAGCAGAGCGCCATAGAGTATTTGATTATTGCAGCAACATAATGAAACAATATTCATACAACATGCAATAAAGAAAATATCTTCTGTATAAATCATTAGCACATGCTTATTAGTATTGTTGCAATATAAGTGAAACAGTTTCCACACACACATTATAACAACTCTCATATTTACTACAGTAATTACCCCATGTATATAGCAATTGTACTAATAGAACTGAAACAAGCTTACATTATGGGAAATGTATTGGGGTTATCAATTGTCTTATGATAATTTTAGCAAGTTAACTGACACATTTTTCATGCAACATGAATATCAAAAACATAATTTCTATAGTTGTTATACTAGGCACATAATTATTGTGGCGATAAAACTGAAACGCTTTCCACACAGGCTTGTCACAAAGAACATATAATTGCAGCCAATACGACAACTAAACCAAATTTGATACATCTTGAAGAGGCATGAGTACTGGTCATTGCATTGAAAAGAAAACTGTCATGAGATTATTGGGACTGTTTGGGAGTGTAGGGTGTATCAAAAACGCTTTAAATTATAAGGATTTTTATCAAATCGAAATGATTTAAAATGTACTCAATTATTCAGAAAGTGTTAACACTGCGCACATAATTATCTGGCTTCAATATTTAGTCAATTTTTTAATTTTGTTGCTGCTGGCACCTCCCAAATATGAGGGCATTTCGAGAGCACTTTGTAGCAAATTTGAAGTGCTTATACGTAAATATTCATAACTTACTCATTTTCTGTCCGATTTACTTCAAACTTTCACTAATCTACTTTTCTAATTTTTCTGCTTTATTTTTGTTTAGTTTACTAGGTTAGATTTCCCTTTAATCATTTAATATAATTAAGAACAAATCGTTCTCATATGTAGGTTACCTACATGACTCCCATCACCATTGGCTAGGGAAGAAAAAGCAACTTTGAGATTTAGGCTGAGAATCATGTAGACTTAGAATACATGTTTCTGAAGACGTGGTCTTCTCAGCTGAATGCATACATTTAATGGATCCTTCTTCGTCGTGAGATGATGATAAACATTCCAATGACAGGATTGCCTACTTCTTTGACTCCCATGCTTTTCTGACTTGTTCAAAGTGCCTCCTTGAACTGGTACTCACTGGTAATGCACACAGGAAATGGGAAAAAGGGAAAACAAATGGGAGCTGCTACTCAATGATAGTTTATTTTAAGAGTAAATATAAATTACAATACAATAATTCGAGTATGGGCGATTCAATGTGGGCGATAACAGAACAAGGCATTCTATGCTGCTGCTCTTACAAAAAAGGAACCGGGATTAAATTAACGTCCCCATTCATTGATATACGTGGAAGCACTGTGGTAGATTGATGACTCTGGACTGTCATGATTATGAGAGGTCCCAGGTTGCATCCTTGCTGGGTGCTTACAATATAGGAACAGTTTGTTTTCCCAAGTCATTATGATTCTTTCAATGTGTATTTAATGGGCACCTAACACTAATTGGGCAGTATTTAAAATAGTTCGAGCACATACCAGATCGCTTCGGTCAAGTTCGCAGTATAATAAAAGTGAAAAGCTTTTCTTAGTGCCTGTGTTTATGGCTTAGTAAAAGGGAGATCGAAAATATGTCATTGTTCCGAACTCTGCAACATGTCAGGGAAATATTAAACACTGCAGTTTTACAAAGTGGGATAGAGGATAATAATGGTACTTACGTTCAGGTAGGATGACCTCAGCAGCATGGCCTAACCCAGCATCTTGTAATGCTAGATGAAGTTCATCTACCTGCTCACTAGGTCGAACCCTCCGTCTCCAGTCACGGAGCATCTCACCAAAGCCTGACCTTGAGGCACTATCAAATGACGAGTGTGGGTGGTTGAGGTGTTTCTCTACAACTGAATAAGAGAAGCCAAGCTGGTAGCCAAGGAACTTTAAGTCCTTTAGTGAAGTGATCAAGATCACATCTGTCAGGATCTCGAGAAGATGGTTGGATACATACTGCAACCGACCTTGCCTGCAGAAAAGTAAATTCATAACATTTGGCCGGAAATCATATTTGAAGATATCGAAATGTATAGCGCAATCGTGTCCATCTGTTACTCATTATATAGGAAAAACTTGCAACAAAAAAAAATTAATAAATAAAATACTAGTTGATGGAGGTTTGGTACATTCCTTTGTAAGATGTTGACAGGAATCCTTCTCCTTTGATAAACAGCGTTTATCTGAAGACCAAGAGTCGACTAAATAAAATGAGAGACATTGTCGATGAATATTAAGCGCTGTATAAACGAGGAGTATTATAATCATTAAAAGCTTGTTTTCGACCAGTAGCCATACCAATTACAATTACAATTAATTATAACTCTATAGTGATGGGTACTCGTTAGGAATGATAAATGCCTGGTCACATGTCCCCTGTCAGAAATCGTTATGAATTTGTTCTATGCCATGATTTTGATTCAAAGTTTGATATGTGGTATTTTATGATATACATGACTCAAATTTCACCTAATACGCATTATTACAAGAATGGTCGATATACATTCATGGATGATAAGATTCGTTTACTTACGAATCGGTGTGATCGACAGCATAATCCGGTTCATCTGCACCAAACGCAATAAAGAAATACAATATGACTAAGCGTTTATTTGTTTTTGTTTTCCAGTATTCTGAATTACTGTATATTTCGTATAAAGGATGTGTAAAGAGAGAAAATAATCATAACTCAATGGTTTTGTTTCTAAGGTTTGAAGAGTGTCACAAAATACAATGTCCCCGTTCCAGGGGAGGGGGAGGAAGATACGAGAAGATTTGTTTTGGTTAAAAACAAATTTTATATCCAAACAGGTCTACCCCACAGCTAAATCTTTTAATGACTTAAACTAGGGAAGTGACATGTATTGTATTTTGCATCATAATTCTCCATCTCTTTCCACACATCCTCAAAAAAGGGCATTTAGTATGCGCTAACGTTAAACATGGATCTGACACAAATGCTTTAAACCTCATCCAAGTAATTTTTATTGTGAATGGGGAAACAAACAAATATACATTAAAGTTACAGGAATGAAAATTTGTATTTTTTCTTTGAAGTAGCTACACGTATACTTACAAAAATAACTACTGTGGAGTAGTTGAGGTAGATAGCTACAGGAATAACTTAGGTAGGGTCTTTTAGGTCACTTGTTATAACAAAAAATGACTCATGTACAGTCTTTGAGGTCACTTGTTATTTTTTTTTTAAAGGACTTATGTACAGTCTTTGAGGTCACTTGTTATAAAAAATTACTAATGTACAGTCCTTAAGGTCATTTGTTATAACAAAAAAAATGTCTGATGTACAGTCCTTGAGGTCACTTGTTATAACAAAAAATGTCTAATGTACAGTCTTTGAGGTCACTTGTTATAAATAAATAAAAAGGACTAATGTACAGTCTTTGAGGTCACTTGTTATAACAAAATGACTAGTGTACAGTCTTCGAGGCCACTTGTTATTAAAAAAAACAACTAATGTACAGTTCTTGAGGTCACTTGTTACGAAAAATGACTAATGTACAGTCCTTCAGGTCATTTGTTATAACAAAAAATGACTGATGTACAGTCCTTGAGGTCACTTGTTACAAAAAATGACTCATCTACAGTCTTTGAGGTCACTTGTTATTTTTTTTTAAAGGACTAATGTACAGTCTTTAAGGTTAATTGTTATTAAAAAAAAGGACTAGTGTACAGTCTTCGAGGCCACTTGCTATTAAAAAAACACACTAATGTACAGTCCTTGAGGTCACTAGTTATAACAAGTATGACTATTAATGTACAGTCCTTGCGGTCACTTGTTACAAAAAATGAAAAATGTACAGTCTTTGAGGTCACTTGTTATTAAAAAAAAAAAACTAATGTACAGTCTTTGAGGTCATTTGTTATAAAAATAAGGACTTATGTACAGTCCTTGAGGTCACTTGTTATAAACATTGACAAATTTACAGTCTTTGAGGTCACTTGTTGTAAAAAAAAAAAAGGACTAGTGTACAGTCTTTGAGGTCACTTGTTATAAAAAGGGATTGGTGTACAATCTTTGAGGTCACTTGTTATAAAAAAATTAAAAAATGATGTACAGTCTTTGAGGTCACTTCCTACGAAAAATGACTAGTGTACATCCTTTGAGGTCACTTGTTATTTTTTTTTTAAAGGACTAATGTACAGTCTTTGAGGTCACTTAATATAAAAAAAAAAAAGGACTAGTGTACAGTCTTCGAGGCCACTTGCTATTAAAAAAATACACTAATGTACAGTCCTTGAGGTCACTAGTTATAACAAGTATGACTATTAATGTACAGTCCTTGCGGTCACTTGTTACAAAAAATGAAAAATGTACAGTCTTTGAGGTCACTTGTTATTAAAAAAAAAATAATAATGTACAGTCTTTGAGGTCATTTGTTATAAAAATAAGGACTTATGTACAGTCCTTGAGGTCACTTGTTATAAACATTGACAAATTTACAGTCTTTGAGGTCACTTGTTGTAAAAAAAAAAAAAGGACTAGTGTACAGTCTTTGAGGTCACTTGTTATAAAAAGGGATTGGTGTACAATCTTTGAGGTCACTTGTTATAAAAAAATTAAAAAATGATGTACAGTCTTTGAGGTCACTTCCTACGAAAAATGACTAGTGTACATCCTTTGAGGTCACTTGTTATTTTTTTTTTAAAGGACTAATGTACAGTCTTTGAGGTCACTTAATATAAAAAAAAAAAAAACGACTAGTGTACAGTCTTCGAGGCCACTTGCTATTAAAAAAATACACTAATGTACAGTCCTTGAGGTCACTTGTTACGAAAAATTACTAATGTACAGTCGTTGAGGTCACTTGTTATTAAAAAAAATGACTAATGTACAGTCGTTGAGGTCACTTGTTATTAAAAAAATGACTAATGTACAGTCTTTGAGGTCACTTGTTTTGAAGGGGAAAAAATGACTGATGTACAGTCCTTGAGGTCACTTGTTACGAAAAATTACTAATGTACAGTCGTTGAGGTCACTTGTTATTAAAAAAAATGACTAATGTTCAGTCGTTGAGGTCACTTGTTATTAAAAAAAAATGACTAATGTACAGTCTTTAAGGTCACTTGTTATGAAAAGGGATTGGTGTACAATCTTTGAGGTCACTTGTTATAAAAAAAATTAAAAATGATGTACAGTCTTTGAGGTCACTTTCTACGAAAAATAACTAGTGTACAGTCTTTGAGGTCACTTGTTATTTTTTTTTAAAGGACTAATGTACAGTCTTTGAGGTCACTTGTTATAAAAAATAAAAAAAAAAGGACTAGTGTACAGTCTTCGAGGCCACTTGCTATTAAAAAAACACACTAATGTACAGTCCTTGAGGTCACTTCCTACGAAAAATGACTAATGTACAGTCCTTGAGGTCACTTGTTTTGAAGGAAAAAAATGACTGATGTACAGTCCTTGAAGTCACTTGTTACGAAAAATGACTAATGTACAGTCCTTGAGGTCACTTGTTTTGAAGGAAAAAAATGACTGATGTACAGTCCTTGAAGTCACTTGTTACGAAAACAAAAAGACAAACGTATAGTCTTTAAGGTCACTTGTTATAAAAAAAAAAAGACAAATGTACAGTCTTTGAGGTCACTTGTTACAGAAATGACTCATGTAAAGTACAGTCTTTGAGGTCACTTATTACGTGAATCTTTATGTAAGGTCTTTGAAGTACCTGGCTACAACAGATGAAGTGAAATAGACAAACTATCCTACTTGCTGATAATATAGGCTTACCTTCTATTGAAATGCTATATTCTTTTTCTGCACGTGTTGCTGATCCTTGCAGTATGTCGATATGGACGTTCTTCTTTCCTTTCTCTTCAGGAGAGAACTGAAGCTCGAAGTTCAGAGGGCTGCACTTTCCACTTAGTATACTTTTGATGGGTACCTTGGTTGCAGAAAAATAATATTAATAATAATGATAATATTTATAACATTAACAACAATCGCAACCACAACAACATTAATAATGATATAATAATAATGATGATGATGAAAATTAACATGATATATTTATGTAAATATATGTTATGATAAATAAATGAAATCAATTAGCCAGTTTTACATCCATCAGATACGCGGTCGCGTATACAGTTGAAATGCGGTCAAACTTCTCGATGGGCACCGGCAGGGTATACACATAATTGTTAGCATGATTCGGGGAAAATGATCAAGAGATTCCACACACTACACGTAATCTGAGTGTTAATAGTCCGTTTTCGATACGAAATGCTGATTTTACATTCCTGGAATGGAGGGACCGCATTCATGTTCCCGAAATCTCCGATAAAGGGGTACTTTTAACGCAACGAAGTCCGGCTCGTCATACACACACACAATATCGGCCCGTATTGACTTTACACACCAGACTTAGGGGGGTGTTTTCATTTTCAAAGAGAGGGAACATGCATACGCGTACCCTTAATAACAGTGAGTGGGGGGGGGGGGGTTAAAAATCGTGCATATTTACCATTCTTTGGCTACTTTTTGTCCCGTCGTGGAACAAAATCTTTAGATCCTTTGCTGTTGACTCTATAGAGAATCTGAGTTCCTTCAGGACTTGGCAGTAGGGCACAGAAGAACTCTTTTCCTTCCTAGTTAAATCCTGGAATTGGACAAATAAAACTCAAATCCAGATATTGCAAAATGAATAAATTTCATGCAGATGATTAACGTCATCTTTGGCGGCCTTAAAAAAAGGCCTATCAATAACCTTTATTTACACGTATATATACATCTCATTTAGATTTGTTTTTATTTAACGATTGAATGGTAGAAAAGAAATCATAAAAACCCAGTCAAAAGATTAGTATTATTAATGAATAGTTCGGTCCCAAAATATGTGACATATCTGTTTCACATTTATGGTTTAATTTTCTAATATCCACGTGATCAAGTAGCTTAATGCACTGCACTAAACCTGAATATTTAGCGTAACACCCCTTCCCTCTACTCTACCCCCCCCCCCCCTCATCTTCAAACTTTTCTATCTTTGCTTTAATCCCATCTCATTCCTCATGGTTGTATTTAACTTCTTCATCCGTACATCCCTCGAACCATGGACCTACCCTTCCTCATACATCCTTCTTACTTCCCTTAACCCCATATCCTTCCCTCTTTCCCGTCGTTTTTTGTTATCTGTCCCATCCCTCCTCCTACTTTCTTTCCCACTCATTCTCCCTCCTAACTTTGCTCCCTCCCAAAGACTCATCACTTCCTCTCCCTTTCCTTCCTTGCTTTTTTAAAAATTATGCCCTGAAAATTTTAATCTGAAAGAAATTCTAAGCTGACGTTGCTCGGTGAATGTTAAAGTGTTACCATAGGCCTTCCATAACTTAAATAGCTTGAAAGATCATCTTTTAATTATCAGATTATTGAATGTTGTCCGCTAAAGATGGATATAGATTATATGATATAACTACCTCTATGTAGTTCCTGTATGGGTGAAGTATGTACACACGTAGAGTTGATTTCTCTGCAGGGCTCATGGAGACAGGCTGGAAGACTGCACATCTCAACTGGAGTCCTTGAAGATCGGTCGATGACAGAGCCCAGACTTGAAGATGACGTGTATGAAACTTGATCTCATCTTTCAAAATGTGTGACGCGGGCGGTGTCAGCTTCATACGACCGAATTTTCCTTTGAATTAAGAAAAATGAAGAAAAAAATGTAGATTAAACTTACTTCCTGATTACATAGGCTTATAAAACAATGACTATTAGTCGAGCGAGAATTGATTTCGACTCAGCTCATAATCATGTTCTGATTTGACTTGATTCAATTATTGTTCAGCGAGTTGATTCATATGACATAATGGTATTATTTTTGTTTATTATTGATTAGTTATTAAATAATATCTCTCATCAGTTTATCATTCTCAAAATGGATTCTCATGACGAGAAGAATATTTTATATGTGATTTGAAATCAGTTATTCTCCTCATTTGTCAAATTGTTTTACATTTCAAGTGATGGTGTATTTTTGTTAACAGAACAAGAACAAATATTATATGTACCTGGTTCTGTTTTTGTGTACAATATAACAGAAGGGTCGTCTTTACGTTCATGGCGAATGATACAGTGTGGTAGTACCACTGTTGCAGGCTTGAGCAGTTGTTGTGTCAGAGAACCTTCTATGACTGGAGTGATGACTACCTCACCCTTCCGAACAGGAATCCTAGGAGTATCATGGGTTGGAACGCGAAGAGTCACGACTGATCTCATCCCTTTTGGTATAGCTCCTTCAGGGATAGATACGGCAATACCAAGTTCATCGAGGGTCAGTTCTCCACCCTTGTGATCGATGATGCCATGCGAGATGAAAGGCATATAGCTTGGTTGGCATTTCATGCCTTAGAAGGATAAGAAGGTAAAAAGCCATCGATAATCGCCATATGAACATGACAAAAAATAAACTGCAGTTTATTTATGTTAAAAAATACTTTAAAAAAAAAATTTTGTTCATAGCTTTTTCAAAAGCAGTCCTTTTGAGTGTTTTTACTGTAAAGCGATTGGGAAACAAGGTGTAATATTTAGTGGCATAACGTGATTCTAAGTTATGAAAGTTAACTGGTAACCGGATTGTTTCCTTTCAATTTCGTGTTTATCTAGCAACACCGTTGATGATTTCTATTTCTTAAAAAAAGTTACAAGTGCACAAGCTCCCTCCAAATTTATGATATTTTTTTAAAGGGGGCATGTTGGTTTCTCCTATAGCCAGACAATCGTAAGTAAACATGGTGAATCTTTGATATGTTTTCCCTAACTGATCAAGTAGGCCTACACCAGTCAGTGTAATATGAAACACTGTGGAGTTGTGAAATGGCATTACCTTCTGCTATCTTGATTGCTGCGTCGTTGAAGCGAAAAGCCTGAGCAACTTTCAGAAGCCTCTCCCTAGTCCCACCTTGATGTACCCACTCTTTAAGCATCTTCAAAGCACTACGGCCAATCATGTGAGGCGGGAAGGTCAAAGATGTGCTCATGATCTGCAAGATGTCAGAAGGTTTCACACTCAGGCGATGACACAAGTCTAGTAGGTTTGTCTTGGATCCAATGGCTTTTGAAATTTCGTCAAGGCCTGTGGACACTGACAAATGCATAAGTCAAGGTTAAGTTAATGGTCATAGCATAATGATGGTGATGAATGAGGACATTGACGCCGTCTGAAATAATGAAGAAAAAAAAAACTGTAAAACATTGATGAATATAGGGACAAGTAAAGAAACCAAAAATAATGTCAAAAGGCAAATGATATCTTGGTCGAAACGTAACATTTCTGTTTTTGGTCGCGTGGTCTTGTTGAAATCACTGCTAGTCTCGCAATTTAACCATTTATTTATGTCCATTCCTAACCCTTCTGAACATCTTTTAAAAGCAATAAATGTTTCTTTTTTTAAATTTATTTGGAAAGGGAAACCTGATAAGATTAGCAGAAAACAGATGGTTTGTTCTTACGAAAATGGTGGATTGAAAATGGTTGATGTTGTACAATTTTCTAGAGCTTTGAAACTGACCTGGATTAGAAGAATATTGTTGAACTCATGTGAAGACGTTACCCATTTAATGTACGCTTTCTTACGTCCACTATCATCATTGGAATGGGGTAAAGGTGATATATATTTCACTAAATTATCATTTATGCTAAGAAATTGTTTTTGGAAAGAACTTTTCCAAATACTAGCTTATTTTGTCCGCCAGGTTCAATGTACTACTACTCCTTTTTGGAAAGCTATTTCTATTTGGTATAATTCTGAGATTAAAATTGGAGGAAAGGGTATATTTTTAAAAGAATGGTGTGATAAAGGTATTCAATTTTTAAACGATTTATTAGATGATCAAGGACACATCTTAGCAAGAGAAGAGTGTGAAAAAAAGTTTTCAATCAAAATACAGTTTCTTCATTATTATGCACTCTGTCAAATAATTAAATGCAAATACAAGTCCCAATTGGAAAGTTGTAATATGAAGGTAAATGGACCATTGTGCCCTGCATATATTTCATGCTTGTTGAAAGATGAAAAAGGATGTAGACATATTTATCAAATTATGTAAAAAGAAAAGGATGAACATTTGAATAAATTATGTAATAAATGGCATGCAGATGGTGTATTATTTGATGATAAATATATGCAATATTATTTCAGGGTTATGTTTCGCTGTACAACGCATACAACAGTTCGGTACTTTCAGTACAGACTTTTGAATAAGATACTATATTTGAATAAAGATCTTGTGAAAATTAACATAATTTTAAATAAGAACTGTTCCCTTTGTGGAAGAGAAGAAGAAGATATGGTACACTTTTTTTTCTCCTGTAACGTGACCAAATTGATTTGGAGTCGTTTGACTGACTGGTTAACTATTGTAACACGCTGTAGAATAAAACTGTCCTTAATACATGTTTTGTTAGGTTTCATTGAAAAAAGAAATGATGCTTTAAACTGTATAATAATTTGGACTAAACAACAGTTATATTTTTCTCGAATACAAAAGTCTGTACCGTCCTTTCGGACAATAAAACAATATATCAAGAATAGTTACACAAATGAGAGGCAAGTTAGTATATTTGCTAACAAAACTGACAAATTCGATAAAAAATGGATAAATTTTGAGAGGATTTTGATCCTTTAATAGGAGTATATTGAATTTCCCACATCATTTTCAGTCATGATGTTGCATTATTATTTAATTTTTGTTTTTCTTTCCTTTATCTACATGTATGTTCTGTATATACAGTATTATGGTTGATATTCGTTATGTATATCTTATTATGAAATATTGTATGATATTCATTAGAACATGTGTTCAAATATGTTATCTTGAGATTGATTTTCAATAAATGGCCTGTTGGAGGGTCCAAAAAAAAATAAAAAATAATAATAATAATGTCCTTGATTTGTAGATACATATTGATACAAATCTTTACCTACTGAAAACTTCTGTACTTCTGTACATCCTTATTATTTAACGCAAGTAAATGGGGAAAATGGAATGTGAAAAAGAAATAAAATGAAATTTTGAAGTTGAAACTTTCTTTTACAGGTAAAAATGATATTTCCTTATCAACACGATTATGATTGAACTCAGCGTTGTAGTTCCAACGAACCTGTTTTGACATCTTGGATGTTAAACTCCGAGAGAAGCTTAGCAAGCTTATGTTCTTTTTCTTCCTTTTTCAAACCATTCCACCAACTGTCTACGAGCTGTCGTGCGATCTTATAGAGTAATGACGAACTGGGTAGATCGATGAATCCAACAATGAGGTCATCATTAACACGGAGGGCTCTCCCAAGTGAACATGCTAATGGCAGACTTTTCACTGATAGAGCGACGCGGCACAGCTCTTCTGTGTTTGGTGTACCCCCACATTGGTCAAGGTCATCATGATTTTCCTCTCGCTCTACATCAAAATCAAACGATGAAAAAAATCATCTAAGAAGTGCATCAATTTTCTAATCTCTAAATGTGATATTTGATATTGATATTTTTGATATTTCCTGGCTGCATGTTGTCTATTTGTTGATCTGTAAGCATACTTTGTCCATGTTTTATTGTAAAATTTGCATCTGAGGAACTAACACTTCAACAAGCTCTGCTTCAAGTTAGATCCTCTTTTCTCGTGCTATTTCCGCTATGTTTGTCGTTTCATTACATATTTGTTGTGATATAATTATTTTTGTATTATGTTTTGCATGAGAAATAAAAAATCAATCATTTCATTTCATTTATCTTGCCCACTGGAATTGTGTTATACAAAAGGTATGTGTATAATGCTAGCATTGTCCCAATCATATGATGTTATCATTCTGTTATCTACCTGTATCTGATGTTTCAATGATATCCATATTTTCAGGCTCTATAGGCTCGCTTGGTGTGGATATTTCATCAGGAGTCGCTGAAGAGATCATACACAAGCTTTCGTCTGAAAGTAAAATATATAAATATTAAACAGTGTGTCTTTCATGACAGTCCTATCAGTAATGAAAGTTAAGGCTTTAGCTTTAAAGATGAAGTTGAGTTCTGGTCATGCGATTGCATTGTGAAAGAAACGGTGTGAAATCGACGAGAAAAGGTTGATCATCATCTAGCATATAAGAATTTGTGTGTATTGCAAGGTTCCAGAATCATCAAAATGATAAGAAATTTGGCCAAGTCTTGGTAAAGTTACAAACACTGTACACAGAAAGATGTATATGGGACTACACGAACACGTGGCGTAAAAAACCTATCCCCCGAGTTTTACGAGTTACATGACATATTTAGAATATAAAGGCATTTGAAGAGCCATGCTTTTCAGGGAACATGTCTTATCTGATGTTCTTCCACACTTGCATAATAAGAATGATAACGCTCACAAATTATTTTTCACCTCTTCCCAGAACTCAACCTTCTCTTTAAGTTGTGTGTATATACTACATAAGTTTTCTCCTATACCCTAGCTATTAGTGAGTATAAAGATGACTCCACCTTATCTCGTCTTATCACGTGAGATAGGTTTTTTGACACATCAAAATGACTGCTATGAACGACATTTTCAGCCCTAAGCCGGAGCTTCAAAACCATTTCTATTACTACTAAACATGTAATCGTTCAATTCCATTGAAGACAAAGTTAAGTTAAGATGCCTGTTCGTGTCTACATTTATTAGAATTACCAATTATATGATGTACAATATATACTAGTAATAGAGCTATTATTTATTAACAATGGAAAAGAACAATTGCCTGCATTCTCAGCGGCTGCCGTAGATGCCAAGGAGACAGATTTCCAAATGTGCGTCATCGTCTCCGTCGCTTTAGGATCCGATCTTTGAGATGCTTTCCACATGCAGAGCATTTGGATGTTAGCGTCTTTGCGATTCTGCATTGTCTTGTGTTTGATGTTCTCAAGCTCATTCCGTCTGAAGCCAAGCTTTTTGCCAATATCTATGAAGTCCGTCCACTTGATATGTCGAGCCAATTTAAGCAAGGCTTGGTCTGAAATGTCACTAAATATATTTAGAATAAATGATGTCATTATACTAGAATCAAAGGTTATCTCGACTTCTGGTTATTGAACTGCTTTGCGACAGAACTAAGTCATCCAGTCAATCGGATTTTTGCCATTCAGTAGGATAGATCGATTGCTTCGACCAGCAAAGCATATATAAACAAATTAAGCAATGAATCCTTGAAAATCAAATTAAATTTATGTTTTTATTTTTTCGTAATTTTGTTAAGCTTTAAAACACTTTTACTATATTTATTTCACTGATATATCACTTATCTTATTTATCAGAAGGTTCCCTGTAAGTTTAGATGTATGCAATTGTATTTTCCATCATAGAGCAGAAGATTACCTTTTATATTTAACGTTATTACCTCTTGTAACTCTCTATATAAAATCGCCTTTAATTCTTCCTATTTTGTATTTGCAAAGACAATTCAAATAAGTTCACCAAACCCTTTAAAAAGCACCATATGCATGTGTTAATTAGCGATTTAGTTGGACTAACTATACAGAATAGCGAGTATTAGTATATGCTTCAAGAATGTTGTAGTTTGGCTTCCTGTTTCATTTCATAATTTTGATCTTACTTTGTCAACTATATTCTTTATTGTGTAAACAATTGTTATATGAAATGAATAAAATCAATCAATCAATATGCCACAGTGTTGCTTCTTGTGTATTACTGGTGACAACTTAAAAGATACGTTATTTTCCTATTTCAATCGGATATTGCTCAAGCTCTCCCTAATTTGTTTCGCTTATTTTCCGGCTTTTATGAGTATACCAGCTAATTATCAGGGTGGACTTCCTCTTTGATAATCTCCTTTCTTGATGTTTTGACTTGTGACGCTGCCACACTTACTCTTGGTTTATTTCATTAAAAAAATAAAACACACACGGTTAGAATTTTCAGTTAGGGCTGCAGTAGGGTTTGAGGTTACATTTACGGTAAGGGTTAGTGACTAAACAAAATCTTACCCGGTTGGAGTATTATCTGAAGCATGGTGACCAAATATAAAGGACGTTATTGTTGCATGAAAAAAAGAAATTAGGTACAGTCAAATTAGATTCTTCTGCATAATCACAAATGATTCAGTGAAAAACTAATAATAAATTTTTGAAAGCATAATTTTAAATTTATTTTTTCACAATCTTTCTTCTTTCATAATTGGATATGTATTTTTGAAATATATGAAATCTTTGCACTTTATGGATCTTACTATTTCAATTACAACTGCTATCATCATTTATACTGCTATTTTTTTATTATTAATCATCATTATAAATATGTAAATACTTTTTTCATTGTTATTGTTATTTATTATTGTTGTTAATTATGAATTCTTATCATTATAATCGTAATTTGTTCTTAATATTATTTAAGTCTATATTGCAGTGTTTGTACTGTTAATAATAACGGTTCCTACGTCAATATTTTTATATCAGGGTATTTCTCCCTTTTTTTCATTGCACCCTTTTTCATCCATTGCTCCTTCTTTGTGGAAGAGTTTTCCATCCTTTCTTCATCTCGCAGAAGCGTAATAAAATTATTTTGTTATAGGAGCCTGCGACTTTTAATGTTGTTATATAGAGACATATTGCGCCACACTAATGATGACTAAGATCATCATTGGCGTCAAACTGTTTCCCCCATAGAATCAATTACCAATGTATAACTAAATCAAAAGATGAGTACATATCCATACACAGTTTAGGTAGTGTTTATTTGGAGTCAGGTTCGAGTCATCAGGCATTATCTTTGGTATGCTTAAGACTGTTAAGAATATGCTGATAAATCTAAATGAGTAACAGTAAAAACCTGTCGTTTTCGTCTTTTCTGCCTCTGTTTCTGCAGACTTCAGGACTGAAAGAAGCTTTTCTTTCACGTTTTGACTTAGTAGTTGTCTCTGTTTCCATGTTAGCAACATTTCGAAGATGGCCTCTTTTCTGTCTTTGAGCCACTTGTACTCTATTGCATCCAGTTGTTGTATTTGGAAACCAAGTGCAACTCCCAGGTCATAAAAGTCGTCTATCGAAAGCTTTTCACCAATTTTCCGGATATCTTTATCTCGGAGATCATTTCCAGAAGCTCCTTCGATTTCTCTGTAAAACAAATACATGTAACTGTATCTGTATCTTAGTTAACATGCATTTCCTGCATGGTGTTGCATTATGAAATGTTATTGATATTCCAAATTACATCTAAATTTCCTACTAAAGGAAGAGAAAAAAAATCAAGAATATGAATACCTTATATTTCAGACAATAGGCCTTGTCTCTCACTTCATATCTTAAACGAAATTGTAATTGAACTTTGCGGGGAAAATTCGTAACGCACCTTAATCTAACATACATTTATTTTTAAAAAGGTGAATAGATTTATAACGACATGCTTACCGGATAACTGGAGCAAACTCAGGACTCTTGATTTCATCTACAATCATGTATACGATGATAAAGATATTAAAAGAAAATGTGAAAACATAAAGACAATTTTTAAATCTTTATTATTTTAAAAACAGTCATGTTCCCAAGTAAATTTCCGAAGAAAAACGATGAAAATTATATATATATATATATATATATATATATATATATCAATGAATATGGAATGTAAACCAATTAATTTCAAATGCGTGTATGTCCCAATTGATCAAAATATTTGTGTATCATAAGAAACTCTCCCAATAGCTGATAAGAAATATAATATAATGATATGCCTGCGCAAGTATATTTTTATACGAAACTGATAATTACTTTCATTTTCCCGAGTAAATTTTTCCTGTTAAGTCTAGTTTATAAAAGTAACAGCCGGAGCTAAGAATGTTAAGGAAAATTAACTTGCCGATTAAAAAAAACGTGGACGAAAATAACGTTCATTATTTCATGTAAAATCATACCTCTTAATTTTTTTTTAAAGTCAATCTCTCCATATTTCAATACCGGGATGGGTTACATATTGTAGACAAACCTTCGTATCTAATGCCGAATGCCATTGATCGAGACACCCCTAGCTTCCCAGACTGTGTAACTGAGATGGATACCACGTCAAATGGAGTATCGTCCTCACTCGGGGGCACTTTTAAGATTACGTTATGTCTCATTCGGCTGTGAATTTCCTTCAGAGAAAGCTGATAAAGGACGAGAAAATTTGATTTTTCAGAAACAAATAACATTCTTCTTTTTTCTAAAATGTAACAAGAAAAGGGGTTCCGTATCCGTGTTTGCGATTTTATGTCATTATTGATTTCCCTCATACGAAATTGGCCTTGATAATTTTGTGTATGGCACCTTCAAGTGTGTTGTATCAGGGTAAAATTATAAAACTTGTCCTACTCGGAATTTTTTTCCGGATTTCAGGGTTTCAGATATTCAGTAAAGATTTATTGCATTATATAAGAAAGAAAGATGTTTAAAAGATGCGAAAATTAAAAAAAAATGTTAAATAGAACCTTTCCAACACAACTGAGTTATTATTATTCTTATGTTATTGAGACAAACATGTTTAAAACATTGCAGACCTGCCCGGACAATTACCCTCATGACAAAAGACAAAGAATAATTCTTTTCCGGGCAATCATTGCGGATATTTACACACACGACAATTACCTCCCTGGACATCTTACCCCGGGACAATTACACCTATAATTACAGCATTATATGAAAATAATAATACCTCTGGCATTTTCAACTCTGACATTTTACATATAAAATCTCCTCTCCCCCCCCCCCCCCCGAATTCGAATTGACAATATTGGCCCCTGCTACAGACACTCAGAAGGTCTCTTTGCACCCTTTTTACAATTCTCCCTGGTACTGTCAAATATACGTCTTTTTGATAATAATAATAATAATACTCAGTTCTTGGTGACGAAATTTCTTTCGATGAGTGTAAGAATTTAATCAGCCTCTTCGCTCGCTTGCATAATTTGGAAACCTGATAATTGATCATCATGCAAAAGACTCAGCCATGCTCACTTAATTGTCATGAGGCTATTCGTCTTAGAGTTTCGTTGCCCTAGAGGTAATTTTCTGGGGATCATTGCCTTGGGTGGTAATTTTCCCGTTTATGTTTTGCCTGAGGATAATTATCCTGGGGTAAAAAAGTCCATGGGTAGATTGTCAGGGGTGGGGTTTGTCCTGGGGGTCAGTTTTCCGGATAGGGCTGTAGTATTATCATATTTCAATAACAGGTCGACCTACAGGAATTGATAATTTGTTTGAAAATAAGGAGCCTGAAAGAACAATAATAGTTTCTAAAATTTTGTGGGATATGTTTTAATTAACGAATCTTCATTTTTGCCCGATGACTCAAACCCGACTCCAAATAAATACTCCCTAAGTATTAGACTATATTCCTTCATTATAAGCCTTAAACTGTAAACTTGAGTTTCTGAAAGGCTAAAATGTCAAAAATCTCTCCGAGGGGGACTTATTTCTTTTCCCCCTGATATAACTTGGTGACACCGTACAATCATCGAGTTGCTAATTTCATCAAGCGCGCCGAGCCGTGCGCGTCTTGCCATGCCTGCTGCGCCGGAACCCTAATGTTGAACAAAACATAAAAAGCCGAGTAAAAAAAGTCAGGTTAGTTTTATACATTCTACCTGTACACAAAATACATGTTACGTTATTGTTATACTTTAAAGATACTATTTCCCTTTTGCAGCCAACATCAATTTTTTAGAACTTGGCAGGAATTATGAATATGTCCTGTATATCCTATCTGTGAAGTTCATACGTTAGCAGTGTCCTAGTATTCAAATTATGCAAGGAAACCTGTTTACTTTCTAGACTTCACTGTCAGGCACTATTGAGTGACTGACTGACATCTTTGTTTTCCTTTTTTTTTATTGGTAATAACGTACATAAAATGAGCTGTAACAGGTACATGAGCATTTGTTTCATTAATAACCCACTACTTGTAATGGCAAAAATTAAACTGATTGAATCTTTGTGCAGCATAAAATGTACGACCATTCAGTACAAGGGTCTAAAAATCATACTATTACTTCGGTGGTTGCAATCACCTGTATTGATTCGACAACTTATGGTTGGTATTTTCCCACAAAAAAAACATTTTCAAACCCTTTAGTTTTGAGGGAAGTTCTAAATAAGTATTGCCTTTAAAATACCGTTGGAATTTAACCTTTACATTTTGTTTGACCTGCAAATGGGACAAAGTACCTTTAAATGGACCCAACACTAATCTAACCTCAAACCTTACTGCAACCCTTACTCAAAATTGTAATCGTTTTTTTTTTTTCAGTGCCTAAAAACAGAACATCAAGCAGGGAGATTATCAAAGGGGAAGTCGACCCTGATAATAGCTGGTATTGATAAAAGCCTAAAAATTAGAGAAACACAAATTTAAGTGAGATTTTGAGCGATATTCTATTAACCATAGGAAAATTTTGATTTTGTGAAGTAATGTCATCAGTGATACACAAATCGGCAACATTGTGACGTTTTATCCAACATGCTCTTTACTGAAATTTCATAAACTTTCATTTTCTAAGTGATTGAAAACGGAGTAGATTTGTTATATGCATATATTGTACAGAAACATATTTGCAATAATTGTTTTTAGGGTGCACATATGAAATTTTAAAGAATAAGGAAAGTCCTGATTAGTTTTAAAATACAGAGAAAATGAGAAGGGATCTCGCAAGATACATCAAATAGTTGACAATTGGTGTACGATTGGTCGTAATTTCAAATATCCATGGCTTTCTTGATTTTAATCGGGTTTTGCTCAACTTTCACTGACTTGTCCTTTTATTTTTTCTGCTTCCATTAAACCCAACTTCATATCAGTGACTCCCTCTTTAAGGACAAACTTATTTTCGTACCTTAGTTTCTGCCGTCTTCCCTTTACAATAACGTGCCACTGTAACGTCACCTGAATGAGAAATGATGCTAAATGGGACCGAGCGATGAGCCTTGCGGAACGACTTAAGCTTCTCCTCCTGTAGAACTTCCTTTATCAAAGAAGGGAGGACCAGCAGTTTAGTAAAACACGGGCCTAATGAATCGGAAAGTGTCCCGGGTCCTCATGGCTATTTGTCTTGGGTTTAATCCCGGGGTCCAATAAACAACACTATTTTCAGAATCATTATCGTGATTCCATTTGATTTTATTTCCATGGAATTCAAAAACATCGATTGGTGAACATTTAGAGTTCACCCAACTTTTACTCAGATGGCATTTCGGAAAAACCCATAGGCCGCTAATGGATAACTCTTGAGGACATTAGAATGTCATTCTGTACTTTATCTTGTTATTATCAGAGAAAATTCAGCTTTTTACCAGCATTTATTTATGAATTAAAAACAATTATTCGACCGTGTTCAACAGCTTCCTCCCGGCTTTAAACTTTTACTTAAAAGTTACTTTATAGATCGATATACATTTTGATTTCCATATTTTTTTTAAAATAATAATGTTAATTTACCTTATTTATGTATACTGTACATGTAGTCTCTCTTCCTCCTTCCCTTCTCTTCATTTTTGTTAGAGTAAAATGGGATGAGTGTGTGTGTGTGTGTGTGTGTGTGTGTGTGTGTGTGTGTGTGCGTGTATGTGGTGTGTGTGTGTGTGTGTGTATGTGCGGTGTGTGTGTGTTGGATGTGTCTGCGTGTGATTTTTAATTTTGTTAAAGGGGCACTAGTACACAAGATCTCAATTTTTTTGGGCTGCCCCTAACGATATGTTAACTTTATATATGATTATGGCACCATATCTCGCCTTGTTTATGATTATGATCTGTATGTATTTTCTATTGTACTGTACATTTACTATTTTTATATTGTTGAATAAATGAATTGAATTGAAATGAATTGTATAGGCTTTGGCATACAGGCCATGCTCGGAGTAATTTTTAATGAAATTATGTCTCAAGACATTTTTAATGGCGTACAGCAATTTTAATCACACTTCAAGAAAAATCCCATCAAGTCTGGTGTAAGCAAGCTGTGAATCCTTGCACATAATAACCCCAGAGAGACGGATTTTAAACAACCACCCTATTGCTCTTCCGGAAATGTGCAGTAGTTGACACTTTTAACAGAACTGTAAATTAACAATTTACTAATCGAACACCTTAACAGTACTGACCGCATCAATGCCAGGAACATCGGCATGCACATGGAGATGAACTTCAATCTCTTTGCCTCTTTCTACGGTTTCTGGGATGTATGGAGTGCACATAAGTTGGTGTCGGATCACCTGCTGTTCAAGAGGAATAAGAACCCACCACTCTGCACAGTGACCAATGTACAGCTCAAGATGTCTCTTGTACAATCTGCAGTATGGTGGTTCGGCTGGTGAGCTGGATGATCTCATTCTTGATGTTCTTGGTAGATCTATTGCCAGTGGGTAACAAAACAAAAATGCGTTTGTTTTAAGATGTGTTATTGCGCAATGGGGCCAAGTTGTCATTTAAACTGTAGCACCTGAATATGGTGACACCTAATATTTCTATCAGTAATGGTGTCCTTGTGGATAATAATTATTTCAAATGGTTTTAAGTTTAATAAGCCATCGTAACAAGCACCAACTTTCCCCTTTCACCCGTTTTCCTTTATTAAAATTTAAACAGAATAATTGGAGTTATAAATTGTTCCTCACGACGTCATGGCGCTGTGATGACAACGATACCTAGAACTGGAACTACTAACCCCCGATTACTTAGTAAGCGTTCACAGTCCTCAACCATGAATATTTTGCTTTCTATTACATGCACCTGCAATGGAAACGTAGAACATAACAGGGCATAGCATACTGAGAATATATATACGTTTGCTTTGCTTTTTTTTTATCCGACTGCTAGGAAAGCAGTATGCTTGGTTTTGTTTTAAACAAAGGCAATGAGACAAACATCTTTAAGGCATTTTAAGTCCACTGAGTAATTAATGACTTACCAAAGGGCACTAGCACATCGACTTGATTTCAAACCGGAAACTACCCGGTTACAAGACCAATCTCTTCCACTTTAGCAATATCGCAACTTCTCAGTGTTGTCCCGAATGTGCTTTGCCTGGTTTGCTGAAAAGGGATCTCAGGGAATCAATTTTCGTTTACTCCAGCAGTAAAAAAAAAAAAAAATGAGTAGGTTTATGTATCTGACCAGATGGACTTACCGTTCACTGAATCCCATACATGAGAAACGATGTCTGGTTTCACTTGATCAGGATTGATGGCCAAGGTAGAGTGTGGTATCCTGATCTTAAGAGGTTGGTGGAAGGTCATGTTTGGAGGATCACATCTGATCCCATAGCAGGCCATTGATTCATCATCTTGGATGTCAACACTAGGAGGATCCCTTAGGAGGGTCAGGGTGATCTTGCACGGGTCATTATGATGAACAGCCTCCGGAGGAATAAACAGTGATACTCCATGGTCTTCTAGTTCGATTTCCGTACTTGTATTCCTTTCGACTTCAACAGAGAAAATGGCAGGTGTTGATGGTTCATCTGTTTTTTTTTTCAAACATGATAAGGAAATGACACGCTAATAAGAACATATAAAAATAAACATTCAATTTATATGCACATTGGGATAATCTTTGAAATGGAAAAACAATAACTTATTAATATAGTTTTCATTTCGATCTTTTCCACAAAAGTAATTGACTTGATTACCGTTTCCAAAGGTTATGTTAATTACCCAAACTCTGATATATATAATATTTGTGTCTAATATTTTAATTAGGGCCTATGACAAATCAATAATGTTTTATCCATAACACTTCTTTAACAATATGTATCTGTTTTTCCTATTTTTCTTTCATTAGGGCACATTATCCGTTTATCTCTCGTATTTAGTTAATTAATGTAAACATAAGAGAGGCTTTGACATACATGAACACGAATGTAGTAAAATTAAGTATAATACCCAGACGATGAATTGTCAAATCCCTTGTTCTTTCTGATTGAACACCTGAAATGTCGTATTTAATCATCGCTAGACATTAATCCGTGACTTAATGGATCGGAGAAGGAAAAAAAGATATCAGAATCACTTTTTAGCTATCATACTAAGAAAAGCTGTTTGTGTTTGAATGATGCTCTTACCTCGATAGAACTGGATCTCCTCTAAAGAAGTTAATCTGAAATTAAGCATAGGTTGTTTTTTGTATTTTTTCACACCAAAAGCAGAAATACATACATGTACATGATACTGGCAAAATACGAACAACTGTTGAATGTTAGACGCTAATCGAGGCCCATTAATTTAAAAAAACGAGGCTCTAATCTTCGATTACGCATGAAAAGAGGAAAATGATACATACCTTTACATCTGGTAATGCCGTAAAATACAATTCACCCAAATTCAAACATTTAAAGAACCACAGTTAGATAATATCTTCTAAACGAATTTGGAAGCAAATGTATATCGTCTATCTGAGTAGAAGAGTAGAAGGAAAACAAAGCTGAAGTAGTCGACCTAGTACACTTGATTCATAGCTCCGAACATGTTAATTGTCACTGTTGTCGCATAATGTACAATTCTATTGTCCGAACAAAACATATACGACCAACTGTTAAGATTGACAGTAACACTTTGTGGACTTTTCTTTTTTTAAATATGTCATTCCGTTACCTAATCTCAAAAGAGCAAGATGGAAATACGCATTATTTCCTTGCTTTTTGATAAATCTCCTGTCTTACAAGTGACATGGCTGACGGGAATGTTATTTGTTAGACCTGAACAATTCACCTAGACAAAATCATTTGTTTGATCACTTCGTCCTTGGCATACTGGATTGGTAGGTTGCCTGTTTCATCCTTCACATCTAACTTGGCTCCATTCTCTAGGAGATAAAACACTAAGGCATGCTCAGGAGATAGTTCCCCATTGTAATTGTCATCAGAGATCTGAAACATACAAACATATATAATGTTTATTTTATTAGAACAGTTTTGTTCATCAATAGTCAGGGTGGAGGAGCATCATACGCACAGTTTAAAGTAGATATTCATTGATTTTAAAAATTAACTTTATTTTCATTATTGCAAAGTTGAAACTTTAATTCCACAAGGTTATCAAAATTCAATGCTTGGAAACATTCGAAGTAATGATTTTTATAAATTACAAAACGCTTAAATACAGACCGGCAAAGCACCTGAAGAGCTCTCCGAACGCTGCTGAGATGTGTGAGATCACAGTATGGACATGATTTGCACAAGCAGACGATGTCCCATGACATCTCACACATGTTCAGTGCCTGTGTTTTCATCTTCTCTTGAGTTCTTTCTCTTACTTCACTACCGTCAGGCTAAATGTATAATCTATTACCTCACTCTAAACCCCGCGCATGGTTTTATTTTGATGACAAATGCAGCGATACAAAAATAAAGGAATCTGTCGCTTGAAAACAAAATAAGACGCCATTGTATATTCAGCTGCACACACCGCGGTATGTTCGGCGTTTTAAAAGGGAACAAATGACGTCCTTGATATCATTCCGGTGGTTTTTCAATTTGAAAGTCTGGTTTCTTTGATTGTTAATTAACCCCTATCCTGTGTATTTACAAGCAAAAGATTTTAGTTATCAGCTAGAATCTGGTCATATCCCTTTTTGAATGGTTTGACATGCCATGACATTTATATACACTAAACTCAATATAATTTGAAAAACAATAGCTTTGCAATTATGTTCATTCTTTATGGGATGTCGTCTGCTTAGGCAGTATTGGTCCATATAGTGACGTCATTAAAACATCGTTATTTTTCCGGCGAATCTCTCGTATATCCCAGCTACTATGGAGGCGGTTGTATTTGTATTTTTATAAATCACCCGATATGTAGTTGACCTAAAAAAATTGTACGATGGCCATCTGTTAGCTTACCAGTTTCTAGTGATACGTTACATGTAGTTGACATATTTGTGATTTTCTTTGAATTTCACCTTTAACGCTGCCTCTTGGAATCATGGCAGTGGAAATCCCTATTTTCGTTGTAAACTTCCCAACACACACAAACAATCGCCCACACACCAACATATATATTGGGGGGGGGGCATTCACGGCCTATCACGGGTATCAGATTTTTGTTTTCACTAATAACCTATAGAGGAGCAGTATATTTATGTCAGTGACACCGCCATAACGACTCCATGTAGACTCCAGAACTGACGTATATTTGGCCGTAATGTTAATTTGTTGTTCAGACTCTCGTTGGTCTGGTGTCGGTCTCGTTAGTGTTACTGGGGAAAGACTCACCTTTCTTAGTGTTTCAGTTTCTTGCACATTTTTCACGCTCTTATAGCAGAGTTTAATGGCTTCATGGAGACATATCTGGCCGTCGGTTGACTGGACATTGAGGTCAGCTCCCTCCGAAACGAACTTCTCAATGACGGACGTGTGGCCGTGTTGTAAAGCAAGATGGATATCAGTTAAATCTTTCTGGACGAGCTGGATATAAGAAAATACGCAGCATGAAAACATGATAACTAATTATTTGTTATGCTCGGAAAGCCAAATTTCTTTGAACACAAGGGACACAAGTAGTTTCATGTGATCAATTAAATCCAATAATTCGAATACGTTCTAAGCAAACATTGTAACTTGTCTATAGAGTACATAAAAACAGCATCGAGATGTAACTGATGTTATAATTACGTATGGTTACTATTGGTGATACAAAATTGAGTTGTTTAAGTCTGAACAAATAATGATAGGGAGCCTATGCCTAATATTCACTTAATTGTTCCAAAAGCATGTATTGAATAAACCAAGGTGGATAATTTCAAAATAAAGTGTGTTTTAATAGTTTTACCTTCGATTTTACACCGTCGATGAATAGATCAGCGATGCTTTGGTACCCGAGAATTGAAGACAATTGTAAAGGTGTGTGTCCTTGAATGTCTACAACGTCTGATTTCGCTCCGCCTGCCAGAAGGACTTTAACGATATCAATGTTTCCATTCTCAACGGAATAGTGTAAAGGTGTCCTACCCGTATAATCTACCACATTCACTTTAGCTCCGTGACTGATCAGATCTTGTGTGATATCAAGATGATCATCCTGAGAAGCACTGTGTAATAATGTCCAATCGCGAAAATCTCCCACATTCACCTCAGCTCCTTGACTGATGAGGTACTTGGCGACATCAAGATGACCCTGCTGATAAGCAAAGTGTAAAGCAGTCCTACTGTCAACAACTCCCTTATTCATCTCAGCTCCTTGGCTGATGAGATATTTTGTGACATCAAGATGACCTCCCTGAGCAGCATAGTGTAATGCCGTCCTACCGTCAACGCCTCCCTTATTTACATCAGCTCCTTGACTGATTAGATATTTGGTGACATCAAGATGACCTCCCTGAGCAGCAAAGTGTAATGCCGTCTTACCGTCAACGACTCCCTTATTTACATCAGCTCCTTGACTGATTAGATATTTGGTGACATCGAGATTGCCATTGAAAGCAGCGCGGTATAATGCTTCTTTTTCCATATTAGCTTCATGAATGAGTATAATTTTCGTTGCTTTAAGGCGCCCGATTGATGCAGCAAGAATTTCGTGTTTTGTCCGTCTGGATTCGCCTTCTCGGCATTAGCACCTTGGTTCATGGGATACTCAGTATTGTATAGCCTTCTTCACCGCACTATGTAAACTTTTATTTCAATCTTTGTCTGGTTTATGATGTTCCCTGTTTTAGCAGTTTCTGGTGCTTTTGATTTTACTCCTTCAATGCTACGTCATGAAACTGCTGATGTCTTCGATACTCGAAGAAGCACCGGTTTATCGGACATCCGAAGAAAGAACAGTTCCTTGTAATCGTCTACTTCTCTCTTAACGTTCGACTCCGAAATGTTACAATTAAGAATCTAAATCTTTTGTAGCAGATAAACCAGTTGCATTTGCATGTTACAAGCATGAGCATACACCACACTGTTTTTTCTTTCTCGCATTGTGCAGCTGTAATTTTTGTCCAAGTTCCAAAGTCCAATGCAATGAGCTAAATCATGATTCAAATATATGTCATTCATGACAAAAGGAAAACATGTACATTGTTTGGAAAGAGCGCAAACACCTTTCAAGTCTACTGCAGATCAATAGAATTTTCTTTTGTATGATTTTATGTGATTTCATGCCCACTCTTGTAATGATAACCCATAATGTGTCATTAAACCATTTTTGTAAAGACCCTCCTCGTAAATCCAATGTATAATTCTGCCTATTATTCTTAGAGTAATTTTTATTTTTGAAATTCCCCTATAATGTTGCGCCTGTTTTTGGCATCGCTTCAAATACTGAAGTGGGTACCATTGTGCATTATGTACACTCCATTATTATAACCTCTCTGTTATTCGGTTTGTGACAAAATAGAATTCACGAAGTAAAATAGGTTTCGTTTTTTTTTTTTATTTACGACTAACAATGTATTGAACTCAATCGTTTCGAGAGAAAAAATGTCGTTATAGGTGAAATGAAATGTAGAAATGAATAAATCAAACGCCGGATGAATTCACATTCAATAAGCTCAACCAAAGGCATAGAAACCATTGGAAATAAGAACATTTGAGCGATAAAAAGCTGAACTTGTAAAGTAGATGGTAGAATGCCTGGCTGTGGAACGATGAGGATAAACTTCTTAAAAAAATTATCCGTTGTGACCCCGTTCAAGAATTAGACAAATGGAACAGGTTATAACCAGTATGATTATAAAATTACATTAACATTTGACAGTAACAAAGATAAAGGAGATCAGGTTATAGGTCTGTTTTTTCAATGAATTTTCAACTACAATTACATGCTACCCATTCGTATATGTGCGTGTGTGAGGGGAGGACTTTTTAAATATAATCTTGAATGTAAGCACACCCAATTGTATTTTATACTGATTTTTATTGACCTTTTTTACTTTGACAATGGACAAGGAATGAAAGGTGCATCACAAATGGCAGGTGAAAGAGTTGCATGGCTGCTCTCGTGAAGGCCCCAGCAGCGCTTTGCAGCGCCAACTGAAGTTGATGATGATGATGGACCTTAAAGACCCTTTCTAATAAAAAAAATACAATTTTTTTTTATCAAAGGAAAGCTGAATGAACGTATAATACAAAAATATAGAGATAAAAAAAAAACTATTTTCCCTACCAGTCTGATATTTCTTGAATTGTTTTTGCGACAATGAGCCTTTTGATTGATTGAATGAATGATAAAAATGAAATAAAAAGATGACCGAAATAGGATGTTTTCATAACTCGTGCATCTTATTTTATATAACCCCCGGAAGCTCTGGGGTTTTAGGTATTTAATTACGGTTAGATGAGCGTCCAGGGGTCCTCTTTAAGGTCAATGACGTGTTCCAGGGGGGGGGAGCCCCCGGAAGCTCAGGGGTTTTTGGTTTTTAATTACCGTCAGATGAGCATCCAGGGGCCCGCCTTAGGGCCTTTTGTGGGGTCCAGGGGACAAAGCCCCCGGAAGCTCGGGGGGTTTTGGGTATTTAATTACGGCCAGAAGAGCATCCAGGGGCCGCCTTAGGGCCCTTGGTGGGGTTCCAGGGGGCATAACCCCCGGAAGCTCTGGGGTTTTAGGTATTTAATTACGGTTAGATGAGCATCCAGGGGCCCTCTTTAAGGTCAATGACGTGTTCCAGGGGGGGGGGAGAGCCCCGGAAGCTCAGGGGTTTTGGGTATTTAATTACAGTCAGATGAGCATCCAGGGGCCCGCCTTAGGGCCCTTGGTGGGGTCCAGGGGACAAAGCCCCCGGAAGCTCAGGGGTTTTGGGTCAATTACGGTCAGATGAGCATCCAGGGGCCGCCTTAGGGCCCTTGGTGGGGTCCAGGGGCAGAGCCCCCGGAAGCTCAGGGGTTTTAGGTATTTAATTACGGCCAGATGAACATCCAGGCGCCCGCCTTAGGGCCCTTGGTGGGGTTCCAGGGGGCATAACCCCCGGTAGCTCGAGGTTTTTAGGTATATTACTAATTGGCGGAGAGTCCAGGGAGCAGAGCCCCCGGAAGCTCGAGGGTTTTAGGTATTCAATAACGGTCAGATGAGCATACAGGGGACCGCCTAAGGGCCCTTGGTGGGGTCTGGGGCGGAGCCCCCGTAAGCTCTGGGGTTTTAGACATTTAATTACGGTCAGATGAGCATCCAGGATCCCGCCTTAGGGCCCTTGGTGGGGTCCAGGGGGCAGAGCCCCCGGAAGCTCAGGGGTTTTAGGTATTTAATAACGGTCAGATGAGCATACAGGGGACCGCCTTAGGGCCCATGGTGGGTCCGGGGGCAGAGCCCCGTAAGCTCTGGGGTTTTAGATATTTAATTACGGTCAGATGAGCATACAGGGGACCGTCTTAGGGCCCTTGGTGGGGTCCGGGGCAGAGCCCCCGGAAGCTCTGGGGTTTTAGGCATTTAATTACGGTCAGATGAGCATATTTTGGCGTGGGGTCCAGGGCCTGGGCCCCGGTAGGGGGTCAAGGGGCTGAGCCCCCAGAAGTTTAGGGGTTTTAGGCATTAAAATTATGGTCAGATAAGCATATTTAGATACCTCATTTGTGACATTGGCAGGTCACTTATTTTTTCTCTCTCTCTTTCTTTCTTTTTCTCTGTAACAAACTTTTTCAACAATTGAGGGTGGCACGAGTCCCCGAGCCCGGCCGTTCTGCAGACCCTAACATAAATGCTTCTAAATAAGCATATTTTTCGCCCGACTGTAAACTTAGTTGGGAATTTTTTAATTTTCCAACAAACGCATAAAAAGGTATGACTTACAAAAAAAATGAAATAATATACCGAAAAATCATGTCATTTCAGCAACATATTTTGTACATCACTGGTATCGAATAAAAAAAAATACCCCCCCCCCCCCATCAGTACGCCATCGTTCAGGGGCTCATAAGCTTCTCACCCCTATAACAAAAAACAGACACGCTTTCCCATTCTCTCGCAATATGTCCACGATATGCGCGTATCGCTATTATAAAAACCTACATTGATAAATATAGGTAGCATGCGCAATGTTTAGGAAATTTAATTCCTGTTAACTTTCCTTTTCTTTGAATGGAATTTCATACGTCATTTAATTCAGGTTTTTATTATTGTTATGTTCTTTTGGGTTAAAAATACAAACCATCTTTACTCCTTTACTGCTTTTTTTTTTTTGAGGGGGGGGGGGCGTTTTTTTTTTTTTTTTTTTTTTGGGGGGGGGGGCAAAAATGCGTTTTGCCCCCCCCCACACTTTTTTGATTGGGGGGCAGCTGCCCCCCCCCCCCACTTCCGGCGCCTATGCTTGAACGTCTTGATCTGCAAAGCCTAAAGCGTTGAAGTTGAACGGAAATGAGGAATGGCGAGAACGCGCTGGGTTTTTATAACTCCCGAGTCAGGACGGGATTGCACACGGGGTTGAACCATGGACTTACTAGACGTCCATGGTTGAACTGCCTTTGAACGGGGTGGTCGGGTTAAAAACTAGTTAGAACAGGTGGCGAACTAGTAAGAATGTGTTTGGACGTATTGGGAACGAGGTAGAACTAGTTAATAATGGGAGTTAAACTGGCTACGGACTGGCTTGGACTGCCTAATCTACCCGATCTGAACTTACTATGAACTGGCTGTGGACGGGGTACAAACGAGATGGACGTATTGAGGACTGTTTACGAACGAACTAGGATCGTATTATAGACATTTTTCTGACCTGTCTCTCTAGTCTTGCCATGCTTTTATTCAAACTGACTTCATGCCAGATTGGACTTTTCATTAAGATTGAGTTTGCCCTCTTATTCTTTCCTTATCCAACCAACTAATTCCTCTCTGTACACACCAATTAATCATGAAGGGTAAAGAATAATTGATGTAGGCAGTGGCGTACGCAGGATTTTTTTCAAGGGGGGGGGGGGGGTTTAAAATCGGGTCCAAAATTTCGCAACGACTCAGGAAAATTTGAAAATCGCGCCGGCCAAAAAGTCGCTCAGTGGGGGGGGGGGGGGGGGGGGGGGGGGGGGGGAGGGGGGAGGGGGGGGGGGGGGGGGGGGGTAAGAGGACACTTTTTTTTTTTTTGGTCTCAAAATTTGAAAATTTGACATTTTGCTCCGTTGGGGGGGGGGGGGGGTAAGGTCACCTTTCTTAGGTCAGCCATGGGGTATTTTTTTTTTTTTTTTTTTTTTTTTTAATAATTAAAAAAAAAAAAAAAATCCAAAGGGGGGGGGGGTTTAGCGATTTTTAGGGGGGTTTACACCCATAAAAATACCAAAGGGGGGGGGTTAACCCCCCAAACACCCCCCCCCCCTCCCTGCGTACGCGCCTGGATGTAGGTGTCTGAGGCAACTGCCCCAGGTGCTTTATTTTCAATAATGACACGGCGAAAGAGGGACCTGGGTCCTGTTTCATAAAACGTGATATCAATCACAAGTTACAAGCTACTGTTATAAGCTACTGAAATCATGGCATCTGATTGGCTGAGAGCAAATTTGTCATAGAAATTTAGCAGTTGTTATAGATAATAAGTTTTATGAAACAGGCCCCTGGTCTGGTGGAGTAAGAAGTTCTTATAAATCGTGTTACTATTTATTAGTATAGCGACGTGCAATCGATCAGCAACCCGACTTTTAATTCTTAAACGCGAACAGGGGATTCATTATGAATTGTTACTATGATAGTAACAATTGAAAGAACTATTATTGAACAAATAGAAACTGGAGATCGCAGACATACTACAATCGAACACTGCCTACCACACGCTGCACTTTGACACGAAGTACGTGATAGGTAAAGCTCATTTTACATCCATAAAGGAGAGGGAAAAAAAACACAATAACTTCCGAGGCCATCGTCATAACATCTAGGGTCTTTCTGACGTACTATTCATTTACACATTACAACAAATCATACTTAAGAAATAAACCACCACAGTTACCCGCGTCTAAACTTGAATGATCAATTATCAAAAACTTTGTTCTGATGTCTAGACATTCACTTCAAAGGTAATAATGTATGCAAATCATGCATGTTAAAAGAATGGATATCTTGATTGTATTACTATCATAATCTATCCCTTATCATTAATAAAATGATCACATATAATATAGTTTAGGTACATACAACTGAGTAAAATGGAGATGCCGTACATAATTTCGAACACTGCCTGGTACACGCTGCACTTTAATGAGTCGGACTTTGATATGAAGCACATGATGTGTGCCATCCGTAATGGAGAGAAAAACACGACATAAATTCCCAGTCCATCGTGATAATATGTGGAGTCATCTTCACATGCCTGTGAAAATACCAGATCACATGTCACTGGGTGTTATCAATGCCAGTTTGTTACTTTGAACAGCGCACTGGAGTGTTTGTTATATTTATTGGCAATATCGAACATTGGTGTTGTGCGTTGGCCTAACAGATTCGCTACGATTTGACGGGATACATTATTCGTACACTATTCATAGTATACTCATCATTTTAATGTCATCTTCATTCGTCAAAGACTAAATATGTTTTTCCTATCATCAACGTCAGTATTACTCGGAGTTATAGGGTTTCTCTTCTGTTTATGGTTCGTTCGGCGTCCAAAAAACCTTCCACCCGGGCCATGGTCGCTGCCAATCATCGGATACCGATTCAAATCGGGTCTAATTCACGAGGCTTTCGTGGACTTGGCGAGGAAGTATGGGCCCGTTTTCAGCGTTCGGCGAGGCCCTCTTCTCTTTGTTGTCTTGAACGACAGGGAGAGTATGAAACAAGCTCTGGTGAAGTCAGGAGAATTCTTTTCAGACCGATTCATACCTGGGCATCTCAGATGGGGAATTCCAGATACTGAAAAGAATGGTAAAGTAGGCCCATGTACCGCATCCCGCTTGTGGATTCTCAAAAAGGCCCATGAAATTTGTATATAATAAGTATAATCTTTACGATTTAAAAGCGAACTTACCTTGCAAACGTATAAGTTTTTCTTGTTTACAAAATTCAATGAGTATGAAGGCAAACAGAGTTTAGGCTGTTTGTGTCTGTTTTATTTTTAACCAAATCTGCTTTATCTTTCTTATAGCTTCCATTGTTTGGAGTAATGGCAAGCCATGGGATGACCAGCGAAAATTCTCTCTTCCTGCTCTTCGCTCCTTCGGCTTTGGTAAGAAGAGCCTCGTCCCTCAGATCAACCTTGAGTCTCGTTATCTGGCTGATGAAATCAGGGCTCTCCATGGTGAACCCACGGATCTATCGGCTTTGTTGAATAAAGCAACTGCTAATGTCATTTCACAACTGGTCTTCGGTCGCCGATATGAGTACGACGATCCCGAATTTATTGGCGCTCTGGAGGCATTGGCGGATGCCTTTGGTCTCGTCTCAGAAACTGATCCAGTTATTGTCTTTGAATCACTTGTTCATACTCCGTGGTACAAACCCTACCGCGGTTGCATATTCAAGCTAAGGGACTTCGTCATGTCTCATCTCCACAACCATCAAGAAACTTTCCAGAAAGATAATATCCGGGACTTTGTTGACGCGTTTCTAGCACACGACATCTCGAAGGATTACTCCTTGGACACCTTCTGGAGGATTGTGTTGGACTTCTTTGCCGCGGGTACTGAAACCACAGCGGTGGTGACTTCATGGGCGATACTCTACCTAGCTGTTCACCCAGATGTTCAGAAGAAGGTATAATTATCGATTTATTGATCTTATTCGTCAAGTTTAAGTACAAGCACTAAAATCATGATATCACTAGATCATGGACTTTGCAAGGGTTCTAGGACACCTACCCCCTGGACATCCAACCCCCGGATAACCACCCCAGTCAACTACCACCTAGGACAACTACCCCTTAGGACAACTCCCCCTAGGACAACCACCCTCTAGGACGACTATCCCCGGACAACTACCCCCCAGACAACTACCCACTCGGACAACTACCCCCCAGACAACAACCCCCGGACAACTACCCCCTACGACAACTACCCCCAGACAACTACCCCCTGGACAACTATCCTAGGGGTTGTTGTCTGGGGGGTAGTTGTCCTAGATTTTTTTTTTTTTTTTTTTTTTTTTTTTTTACCATTGACCGTTTAAGAATATAGAACCAAATCTCACTGACAATAATTATACTGCTACATGTAACTAAAATTATTAGTTTCCTTACCTATGGATTTTCAACCTAATGACTTATGTGATATATGCTAGTCAATCTAAATGAAACACCAAGGATATATTAATGACATGGTGAAGTGTGGGGGGGGGGGGGGTGAAGGATAACATTTCCCGACAAGTTAGCAGACATTTTGTTAAAATACACGTATTGGGAGTTGAATCTTAAAATGTATTTTTCCACCAATAGGTACAAGATGAGTTGGATGCAGTTGTTGGGCGTGGTCAACAACCAAACACCAGTGACCGCCCAAACCTTCCCTACTGCGACGCCACCCTGATGGAGATTATGCGCATCCGTCCTGTCCTCCCGGTCTCTCTGCCTCACCTGACATCTGCAGATGTCTCCATTGGACCTTATACTATTCCCAAGGGGACCATCATTATTCCTAACCTGTGGGCTGTTCATCATGATCCCAAGGAATGGTGTGAACCACACCTATTCAACCCAGACAGATTTCTCAGTGCTGATGGTCAAACAGTCGTGAAGAACGAGGCTTGGATGCCATTCAGCATTGGTAAGAAAGCTCGTCTTCTTCTTTTTAGGGAATGAACTCGTAATTGTATCATCAATCCTCATAAACCGTTCATATTTCGCCTATTTCCTCCCATTTGCTGTCATAGTAGAGTTCCTCCCATGAAATACAATTGGAACCAGAAAACAGGGGAACAGTTTATATTTTATGATCAATACCTGATACTTACAATTATGAAAGCGTTGTATAGGCAAAAATAAAAGCAACTCTTTAGGATTTTGGAAAATGTGAAAAGTGAAAAGTACGAGGTATTGATCGTGTTCAAGTCTGTGCCTAAACTTCTCACGTAATGTTGATAGTTATTTAAATTATTTTTTAGCGAATCCACCATGCAAGGAGGCACTGGGCGGATTGCGTTATAGATTATTGCAAAGTTCTAGTAAATGGCTAGCGTAAAAAAGAATGGTTACAATCCTTCCAATTATCAATTTACTAAATATCGGCATTTTCCTCCTCTCCTGGCAGGCCGTCGCGATTGTCTGGGAATGCAACTTGCCAAGATGGAATCATTTTTGCTCTTCGCCAACCTCTTCCAGCAATTCGATTTCAAGCTTCCTCCTGACCAACCAACCCCCAGCATGCGAGGTCACACCGGGCTGTCTATGCCTCCAGAATCCTACCAGATTTGTGCTATTGAACGCTGAGTTTTGCCGCTTTCATGAGTTTTTTCGCTAAAGACTTCGTTAAACTGCTGTATAAGCGAGTTCGTAATTAGGATTTGCGCATGTGCAGATAAAGGTCATTCGTTCGCAAATTGTAAAACCATTGAGACGAATACTCGTATCGTGCTCATGAAAGTTATGTAATTAGTATACATTTATGTACCGACAGTTCATTTATCTGATACACAGATGGAAGTATTCTTCTCAAGAGGGCAAACAAAAGGTATTCATGAAGCACCATCACTTCGGCAGTGATTATTCTAAAATGCACAAGTGACACGTATCCATAGTGTAACAGATCTGTGGAGATTTGGGGGTCATGCGTTCCGAAGCTATTTACGAACTGGTTTAAGTACATTTTATGAGAGTTTGTCAAAAAGAAAAATGGATTCATTCCTATCATGCCACTGCAGTTTATTAAAAAAAGTTTTTGTATATAATGCAATATAATGATTAAGCTTTGTATGATCTCTATCAATAATATGTTGGCTGATATATTTTATTTGTAATTATAGGAAGAGTTTGGCGGTATAGACACATCAACTTTTTTCCTAGATGACACTTATGTTCTTTCCTGCTATAACTTCTTCTTTTTTGTTTTCTTTCGTTTCAATGATGATCTGAAATTTGACTATTCACCTTAACTTGAATTGATTTTTCTTTTGTAATCACTGGTGAATTGTTGATTATCTCAAACTGCGTGTATTTTGCTTCTCCTTTTGCAATTTGCATAATGAAAATGTTTGATACTTTTGCATGTACATTATCCAAAATGGTGGATTTTATTCCAATAAATTAGATTTCATTTGATTTTATTTATTCGTCCAGCAAGTTGGTCTTTTTGTATTGTTTAATTATAATGATGAGGAGACTACAACTACTACTACTACTTCTAGCAGGCGCGTACGCAGTGGGGAGGGGGTTTGGGGTTAACCCCCCCCCCTTTAACTTTTGTATGTGTATGTTTTTGAGAATCCCCCGCCCTCTTTTTTTTTTAATACAAAAAAATAAAAAATAAAATTAAATTGTGGTAATTATTGGTGACCCCAAGAAGCCGACCTTACCCCCCCCCCCAACGAAACGAAATATCAATCGGCCAAATTTTCAAATTTTGGGAGACACCAACAACAAAAAATGTGCTCTTACCGCGTAAATTGGTTTGCCCCAAAATCCTAAAAATGTTTTAGCCATGGATTGGATTAAAGAGAAAACCAGGCAATAACTTGCTATATGTGTTTGTTTACTATCATTAAGTATCGTTGAATGTGCGAGGGATACGTGAAGAGCTGAAGCGAAAGAAAATATTCCTTTGGCTCCATCGCCAAAAGTGTGACATAGCATTTTTGCAAGAGACTTTTTTGTCAAGAAACATAGAAAATATAGTATCTAAAGAATGGAAAGCACTTTGCTTGTTTGATCATGGTACACGATCACGAGTCAACCATGCATGCGTGTGATTGCGCAGGCGTCGCAAAACAAGTTCCTATTGGTTAGAAGGCCAGGAAACGGTAACACCCACTCTGTAACCATGGATACAATTTGGGAAGGACTCACATGACGGACATGAACTAGCGTTTGAATTCATTTTCATTGTTATATTTCAAGTGCAATAAAGAGCTTTCGTTGTTGAATGCTTAACTAGATGTTGGGTGTTATTAAAACAAAACCAAGTTTTTCTTAATCACTTACTCATATACACTGTAGTACAATTTTTCTAATGTCTTTTATTGGTTATACATAAATGATAAAATATCAGGAAACGTAATCTCAAAGAAACGTCTTAGATAGTTCTTTTCTTAAAACTATGCTTAATTTCTCTTTGTTATCAAGGTTAAGATTGGGATGATGATTTTCAGCAAACTTGTTGTGATAGGAACATTATAAGGTAGTAAATAAAAGAATTTTTTATGAATAAAGGTGAAAATCGTCGGTCCCAATTTTATATCAAATTTCTCCGTCCGAATAGTCGAAGATGTTATTTAATTTGTGTTTAACTTTTTTTCTTCTTCATATGAATATGATATTTCATCTAATAATTTTTCACATTCTACAGAACTGGGACCCGTTTTACAAAGCCCTTTTCTCAATGACAGAGAAAAATAAATTAGTGACAAATCTACTGATAACCGATCAGAAGCAAGGATTTCACTAGCTTATAAAAAAAAACTGTCATTTGTCACTGATGACCAGTTTTGTGAAATGGGACCCTGTACCTGACAATCAAGTTAACAACAAAATTGAAGACAAGGAAGCTAGAAATATTTAGTTTAAAAAAATATTATCGACGATAATTATGGCAAATTTAAATATTTTATAGCAGGTTATTCAGCACAGCAACATAAAGAAATGGTGATTACAATAACCGGTACAAACCATGCATCCGTGTTTTAATTTAGAATACAGATACATGCTATGCGTGGTGACAAATAAATTGTGTCAATTACAAAACATCTTTTACAACAAGTTCCTGCCTTCTTATCAAACAATTTCGATTTGACACTTCAACAGCATAACTTCTTGTACATGAGCAATGGTTTACACATGTTGCCCAAGTCATAATGGGTTATACAATCATAATAGTGAGCATAACATATGCCATTTTGTATTGTCTGGGGCCCGTCTTACCAAGAATTGATATTAATCACAACTTATTTGCGATTGATATCAATAGCAAATGTGTACATATAGAAGATAGGAGACTGCAAACTTGCGATTGATTTGGATCAATCGCAACTCTTTATATGATGTATGATATATACTTTGTGACTGGAAAATAGTAACACATACACACTCTGAATTCAACTGAATTCCAGACAAAAATCTAGTCTTCCTCTTTCTCGACATTTGCAGAGTTTTACTTTGTACAATATTGAGAAATATACATGTGAACATACACAGAATAAAGCTAAGAAGTATACGGATTTTTGGTAGCCGGGCATGACTGAATGCAATACATACAGGCAATATAAGCATAATTCACATGTTGACATACATGCTCAATACTTGGTTTAATTAATTAATGGTGTCTTAATGTTGTATACTTAATGTTACTGGTACTTAAAGCGCTGGGTGAACATTCTCCTAAGTCTACAAACATGAATTAAAAACATAAATCACTCCTACTACATTTTACAATCAATGAGAAAAATAAATAGGCAAAGAGATCGAGAGAGAGATACAGGGATTGACCTTTCAGTTTTACTTCGGATGCATTAATATTTAGTAAGTTTTACATTTCAGAGTTAACTGTGAATGATGAGATCGAGACCCGATGCATTCATGTACAGTTCATCAGTTGGGTTCGCGACGCTGTTAATATAAATCTGACTGTTGTTCATGACTGGATGCAAAGCGTTCAGATGAAAGTCGTCACCAGAAACACTTGGATCGTCATAATCCGATTCCAAAAAAGCAATTCTCTTGGTTTTTCGGCTCATATCGGGTTCGGCGTAGAGCTCGTTAACATTTCTTGTGGGACCTGACCTGTTTGCCGTCGAATCGTGCCTTCCGGCATCCTTTCGTTCTACCGAAACTGCACACGGGCTCTTATTCCTAATGACATTGTCCGGATCGGGAGGATTTGTTTGTCCGTCACTTGGGCGAGGTGGCGGTTGAAAGGTCATCGGGGATGCGGCTGCGACACAAGTGTTAGGAGAAATATCTTCGATATCATCAACAGAACAGTACGTACTGTCTTGAAACGGTGCGCTTGGAACGACTACAGTAGGTGCGCCACCACCCGGAATGCAGTCTGCAGCACTTGTAGAAATGCACCCGGTTTCGCGTAGGTTCTGTTTTAACGAAAGATCTTTTCCCTCATTGATGTTTGTAGTATGATCAACGGACCTGTTGTCCACAGCTTCAGAGTTGCCACGCAAGGAGATTATTGGAAGTTCACTCTGAATTTCCTGACAAGAACGCATGGTGCCCATACCAAGTTCCTTCCTGGCTAAGGTGTCAGTCGGTACATCGTTCCTTGGCCGAGGCCGTGCAGAAGAAAAATTGGTCAGTTCAAGAGATTCCGCAGCGTCATCACTAGCTACTGTGCTTGAAGTCATTCCAACATTACGTGTTGGCTTTACGCAACGCCGATGAAAACCGCGAATGATAATGAAGCACATAAAACTAGTCAACAAAAATGCTATTGTTGATAGTACGGTCGAAGAAACGATAACAGCTAGCATCAGATTAGTTAGATTTATCTCTTCCGAATTCTTCGATTCAGAAGTATTTCTTATAACACTGACGTGGATAGTTTGACATGAGCTGTCATCTGTGGAGTTGCTTGACGAATTTATGTCTGAAACTGATGTTGTATTAAAACTCCATTTTGCCACATCTAAACTTCCAATGCTATAGAGTAGCATTGAGTTTGATTTATTTGTCTCTTCACCGCAGAAAAAAATGATGCGATCGGAGCCAGTGATTTTTTCTTCCTTGAAATTGATTGGTTTTAAATCGTCATCAATTAATGTGTACCATTTGTTTACAGTACAACATTGAAATGTTAGGTTCTCGGTTTTGACGTTTTGAATCGTGTTATATCGTTCTACAGGCGGGAACTCACAAACTCTTTCATTTCGTTCGTGATTCGAAATGACACATCTGTCTGGCAAGGTTCTTCGATCAAATATGTCTCGAGGATCGACGTAAACACTAAATGTGTTGGTGAGAATGAATCGACCGTCGATGTTCATGTTTATAGTCTCGTGGGAATAAAGCTCCCATTTTTCCGCATTTACCATGTTTTCTAGATGTGCTTGCTCCCCTTCTATCACCTGCACCCATTGGCAAGTCATCTGTAATTTGTTAGTATCTTTGCCGAATACAGTCGAACAAGTGGGCTCTATAGATTCAACAGTTAAATTCAGTATCAAAACCGTACAGAAGGTCTGTTTATCATTTTTTATTGTGATGACATGTTTCCCCATATCATCACTTTCAACGAAAGAAATGATTAGAGTGAGCGTGCCGTTGGTAGCCTCAATCAAATCATAACGTGTGACATCAAAAGAAACGTTTCCTCCAGTGAGCTCCAGGGTATCATTGTGTCGCTTTTTCCATGTTAACTCTCCCTTGGTCCACACCAGTGTTTGAGTACTTAGTATTGGGGTCTTGAGAGGAGGTAACATCAGCGAAAAATTTCGTCCAGTCACTACGTGAAAACTGTCCAGGTTCCCTCGTCCATCACAAGCCAATTCATGATCATTCTCGCAGTATGAGGATTGGTAACAAGATTGCAAAAGCAGAAATAAATATAACGTATATCTGAAGCCGCGGAAGCCTTTCCGAGACATCGTAACGAATTTGTTGTAAAAGCTTTAATCGAAAAACTCTGATGTTTAACGAATAGCAGGTATTATAGCAGGCATAACTCAACAGAGAGTACAAGTGTAGAAGGTATACTGAAATCCTGGTGATATCTGCTACAATGAAATGAATTCAGCTAGATCGAGAATGGTGTCGTGTCGAAACGTTTCCTCAATAGCTCTATCTATTCCATCTAAGATCTTTATGAAAAGTGAAGAAGTGAGAGTGATAATTACAGCAATTTAATTGACTGTAGCAACGCGATCATAGGAGATTGGAATTAATGATGCAACCCAGTAGATTTAATCGCATTTTGTCATTGTTGAGGCAGGGTCTTAATGTCTCTTCCTTTAATTATGGTCATGT